CTCCCCGCTTTCTTTCATCTGTGAGTATTTTAAAGTTAATGCGTGCTTTTTTGTTTTTCCATATAAATTTAATTAAATCTGTGTTCCATTTTTTGAACATGTAATCATTCCTTATAATTGGTAAGGTTTGAAAAAGAAAAAGGAGCTTAGGTAAAATATCCATCTTAATTGTTGCTATTCTGCCTAGCAAGGAGAGGTTTTGGTGTTTCCACCTGTCTAAATCTTTTTGTACACCTTTCCAGAGTGTCTCGTAATTGTTTTTTAAAAGATTTATGTTGTTTGGGGTTATGATCACCCCCAAGTATTTTACTTTATTTTCTATTTTTAGGCCTGATTTTTCCTGGAGTAGTTCTTTAGATTCCTTATTCATGTTTTTAACTAGCATCTTGGTCTTTTGCTTGTTAAGTTTGATGTCTTTTCGATGACCTGGAGATACGGTTTTCTTTCTCACACGACGTCTGCAAGTCTTTTCTGCTCTCTTTTTTGCTGCTGGGGTTTCTTCTTTTAATCTGACCTTCCAATTATCAGGAACAGTTCTGCTTCCATCGAGTTTCAGGGCTTGAACAACGGCTTGCTTTAATGTAGCATCAGATTTTAGTGAATAATCTGGAATTCCTCGAACATCTTCTCTTGGCACTGAAGAGAATTCACTGTCCTTGGAAGAACGAACACGAATACTGTCCTTCTTCATTGCAATTTTTCCACTGTAGTCTGGATGAACCTCTATAGCTAGAAATTGTAGCTTTTTCTTTTTATCACCACCAATATAGTCTGTGTATATTAGTTTTCTTGTCAGTCTATCAGCTTGGCTTTTATTCTCTCTTTCTTCTTTGTTCAAGGATAAAGGAGATTTCTCTTCCGATATATGGTTAAATCTTGTAGTTATCATTTTGTTGATGCCAGCTCTTTGATAAGTTTCACTTAAACTCTTATCTTCAGCTATAGTTCCATTCTTTAGAACTTCTTTTGTATGATCATCTGGAACTTTTATAGTGGATGAATCATGTCTAGAAGTCATCTTAACTTCAATTAGCCCTTCAGGTGTATGGATCTTTGTTTCACAGAAGACCCCTGGATATTCTGAACTCGCATCAGCTTCTACTGTCACATCCAGAGTTTGTTTTCCTTTAGCTTCCTCTTTCGTGGTTTTCTTCACACCCAGATGTCCACCATGAGGGTTCTCGTGTGCCACCCTCATCAGCTGTTCTCTAAAACTTTGAGGCACTATAATCTGATTATATGTCACTGATCCTTCTGTTGACTTCATGTTTCTGGTTTCTCTATACAAGACACCATTTTTTAACACAAACTTGGAGGGCTGCCCTTTTGCTGATACTGTGGGGTTTTGAGCCAAAGCGAACAAAGGTTTTAGAAATTCATCTGCTCTTTGTTCCTGTTGAATTTCTCTGACTCCTCCTGTCTCCTTAATAAGCTCAGCAACCGTAGCGCTGGATTCTGGATTCTCATCCCCATTCTGTTGTATGGTGAAACACATGGCTTTTTGATCAGGGCTTTTGTTGTTATATTCTTCCTCCTCACACGTCATTCTCCAGTTTTCAATCTTTTTAGCCAGATCATTTCCAATTAAACATCTGTATGGTATGTCTGGACTGACTGCAAAATCCCACATACCCTTCCAACCTCCATATTCTATTGGCAAAGACACTACTGCTGTTGGTATTGCAGGTCCCAAGCCTTTTAATCTTATTTCAGAGGTAGGATGCTGAAATTTCTGAGGTATTATATCTGGATGTATAATACACACTTCGGACCCTGTGTCCCGCAGTCCTCTCATGTCTTTGTTGTCAATGGAAATGGATTCTAAGTAATCCTCAGTTGGGGTGTTTGACAAAATGAACAAACACTGTTTCTCTTGAGGCTCTGTTTCCGAACTCTCCTTTGACACATTATTTGGTTCTGTCTTCTTTGTTTCTTTTACTTTATTAACAAAGAGGGTTGTTTTCTCTTTTCTTAAAAGGGGACATTGATACCTTATATGGTCCCACTTTCCACACTGAAAACACCTCATTTTTCCCTCAGGAGCAGTTTGACTTGTTACACTCTGCCTCCTCCAGGAGGGGTTTTCTATTGCAGAACCTTTTTCTTGCTGTGGGCGCGTTTGATGTTGGTAAAATGGCTGCCTGTTTGTTCTTTTATCACTTGGCAGATCTTCCCTTTGAATCCTTCTTTTAGGGTAATTATTTGATCTACCATAACCGCTGCCTCTACTATAGTGGATGGTTTTCGATCCTGTATCAGCCAGAGAAAATCGGAAGGTACCAATTGGAAGAATTGTTCCAATTTTAAAAGTTCTCTCAGCTGTTGGTAATTTTCCACCTCAGACGTCCTTAGCCAACTATCGAACAGTTGAGACAATCTAGAGGCCACTTGAGCGAAACTTTGGTTCTTATCTCTTTTTAGGGTCCTGAACTTGAATCTGTAAAATTCAGGAGTTAATTGAAATTCCTGTTGAACCTGTTTCTTAAATAAATCATAATCCCCATAGGACTCCTCAGGCATTTCTCCATAAATTTGTAAGAGCTTTCCACTTATCTGAGGCCTTAGGTATGTCATCCATTTTTCCTTAGCAACCCCAAAATCCCTACAACATCGTTCGAATGAGATTAAAAATTTCTCTATATCATCATCCTTAGTAAATTTAGGAAATCTCTTTATCATATCTGGGGTATCCACTCCAGAGCTCCCTTCTTGGATGTTACTGGATGTTTGAGACAAAGCTAATTTTTGCTTTTGCAGTTCAAATTCCATTCTCCTCAATTCTATCTCCTGTTCTCTCTCTTTTTGTCTTTCTTCAAACTCTCTTTCCCTTTGTTTTGCCTCTATCTCCAGTTCTCTCTCCCTTTTTCTTTTGCCTCTATTTCCAATCGTTTCATCTCTAGTTTGTACTTAAAAGCCATTTCTGACACAGGCACTGGCTCCGTTTCTGCTTCAGAGCCCGAACTTTCTTCTTGGTCTCCCTCTGTTTCCTCAACAAGCTTTTTCTGTCGCCTGGTAGCCATATTTCAATAACTTTTACCTCACAACTTATTCTTAAAATAATCTTAAGGCACTTGATCAGTTGTTAAACGGATCCCATCGTCTGCCACCAATTTGTAAAGAGGGAGCGTTCCAATGCTACCGAATATCACCAATTTGTGATAGATTGCCACACCACTGACACCAATTTGTAAAAGTATCCCACTCTCTCCTCTAAGCTCCTCCCACTTCTCTTTCTACTGCATCATCTCCATGGCAACGCACTCCTCTGACTTAGGCCGCTCCAGCATTACTGCAGCCAATCTAAACACAAATACAGTTAAAATCATACAATTTATAATCAACTTCTGTACAGTAATCCTTTGGTACTAATGTTGGAGAGTGGCCCCTGGTCAAGTGATCCCTAATAAAAAAAAAGGTTGGGAATCCTCTGCCTCCACATTTTTTTCTCACCATTACTACACCGTTGCAACAAGAAAATAAAAAAATATAAAAATAAAAAAGGTTGGGAATCCTCTGCCTCCACATTTTTTCCTCAAACTGCTCCCCACACTTTTTTTTTAGTTTTTTCTTTCCCAAAGTTTTATTGTTGAAAAAATTCTTTAATAAAAATCTATATTAAAAAAAAGGTTGGGAACCACTGATCTATAGTCAAGTACATAAGAATAGCCGTGAGTAGTGCCAGACCCAAATACAAAATAGTGGCTCAGGATGAGAGCCAAACATGTTCTTATTCATCTAATTAGCTATACACTATGCTAACCTGCATATGCAAGTAGAAGCATACTTCCAAAGTAAAATAGATCAGTCTGTCCCAATCTCAGTATTATGTGGGATGGCAGGAGAGAGAAAACCCCTTTGTTCTCTTGTTAAATAATTAGAAATAAATTTCCTACTCCATTACTAACTATTCAATGATCAGTTGTTCTTGAATTATCTTCTGCCTTCTTATGATCTCTGATGTTCTGGGACAGGAGGGTTGTAATGTGTGCCCATCCCAGACATTGGACTGAAGCTCTTATCAGCACTAGCAAGCATAATTTCAGAACTCTAATCCAACAGCATTTGGAAGATCATGGCCTTCCCAACACTGTTTTAGCAGGAACTGGATAAGGATGTGTAATGGATAAATGTGAGCCGATGTTCAGAAGGTGTAGGGAGGGCCTCTCTTGCTTCATATATGAACAGGTTCTCTTAACTCATATAAAGTGAACAGGATTTCTTAACTCCTTTCCTTTACTGGAAAAACAATTTTGTGTGCTACCCATAGATGGCACTGCAGCATATGTGGGCACCACCAACCCATGACAGCCAGCACTGAAATACATGACCGTGGAGGGGGAAGAAACACAAATGAAGCTTAGTTATCTTTTTCTGTACCTCCAGCTACATCTTCATTAGCAAAGGGTACGTTATGCCTACTTGAAGTGAATTTAAGAAAATCGATCTGGCAAACATAGAGAATATATAGTCTTCTGAGTCATGAAAATACTTTCCACCTCCATTGTGACCAATGTGTCATACGTATTTCCAAAGTCTTCATAGGGTTTCCCCCCATTCTGCTGGTAACACATTGAGTGACTAAAATAAGATTATTTTTGGGCATAGGAGGCCCAACCATTACATAGAATGGAGCAGGTGTTTCAGGAGGCAAATCCCCAGTTGAAACTTCAAAGCTCTTGACCATTGCCCTTCTCTTGATGAACAGAGATGTGTGCTACCAAGTCTGTCCTGTACCCTATAAACAAACTATTGTTATGGGGATTGGATAAAATCCTATCTCTTTGAAGCAAGTTTCAATTGCTAATCCAGTTGGCTTTTATGATATAGAAGGGAAAGGAATGTCAGTTTGTCTTTTGCCTCAAGCATCAAAATGTCCTGGATGGTCTTGCTTGTGAGGCTGAGATGAGAACTAGAAATTGGGTCCAAAAACTGGATCCGCAAAGACAGTGAGCTTCCACGTGTATTGAGAAGCTTCTCTCCTTTGTATGTTGTTGCTTTAGGTCAATTCAGAGTTCTACACTGGCTGGTTGGATCATTGGGGTCACCGTCACATCACTGTGCCAGCGTCAATTGTAGCTAAAAGTCTTAGCGAGATCCTGGCGAGTGGTGCTAATGTGAACATGTAAGTGCATTAGGATCTGTTTAAATGAGACCATTTGGTGCAGTGTCCACAAGTGTTTATGTGGTTCTTTGTCTTTTCAGGTACATGTTCATAGGAGGGACTAATTTTGGCTATTGGAATGGTAAGTGGCGTGTGGTGTTTGCGCCCAACTTGTATGTACCTTTTAAAAATTAATCTGTATATATATTCAAAATGGAAATAAAACAGGTGAAAAGTAATATGAGGCCCCTTCTATACTGCAGTATCAAAGCAGATAATCCACATTATCTGCTTTGAACGGAATTATATGTATTTACTTCCATATAATCCAGTTCAAAGCAGATAATCTGGATTTTATATAATAATAATAATAATAATAATAATACCCCGCTACCATCTCCCCAAGGGACTCGGTGCGGCTTACATGAGGCCAAGCCCACAATACATCAGTAAACAAAGGCAATAACAAAAACGATAAATACAAAACAATTAATATAAATCACATAAACAAAAAAGCCATAAACAATAACAGTAACATACACACATTAAAAAAACCTATGGCTGGGCCAAATGTAATAATTTAAAATTTAAAAAATAATGCTGGGCATGACCAAGGTAGGATATAACTGGGATAGGGTTTTTCAAAGAGTAATGAGGGAACGCAGTCAGTCCTAAATCAGTGGTAAAGTGCATTTTGAGGGCATATTGCTAAGTTTTCCTTATTCTGGGAAGGCACACTGGAACAACCACGTTTTCAGGCTCCTCCTAAAGGCTGCCAGAGTTGGGGCATGTCTGATGTCCTTGGGAAGTGAGTTCCAGAGTCAGGGGGCCACCACCGAGAAGGCCCTCTCCCTCGTCCCCACAAATCGCACCTGCGAAGGAGGTGGGAGCGCGAGCAGGGCCTCTCCAGATGGCAGAATAGAAGGGGCCTGAGAGGAACAACAAACTACTCGGTGTGTATTCTTTTCTTTCTTGCAGGAGCAAACATGCCTTATATGCCACAGCCTACTAGCTATGATTACGATGCTCCACTGAGTGAAGCAGGAGACCTTACAGAGAAATATTTTGCTATCAGAGAGGTCATTGGTATGGTGAGTTTCTTCTGAAGCTTCGTTGATTCATCTTGTCCAACATTAGTCTATTATAACCAGAGAATTGCTGTGGTAGGAGTCCTCCGAGCTCTCTGAAAGCATGATTGAGTTAAACAAATTAGTGAGGTTTAGTTTGGGAAGTACCAAGTTAAATACAGTGAATTGCTTATAATTCTGAATGATGAAAATAAATCTTACATAATGGCGCCCACCTACAAATGTCATTGTGATCTACAATTGTGTGCAATTTCGTTTCAAATTTTGTGTGCCACCCCCCCCCCCCCTTCTGTTTATGGGAAAGATTCGAAATGAAAACAGAACAGATTTCTGCCATTTCACACACTCCTGGTAGAAATCTCCCTGATGGCACTATCAGGATTCTTACAAACAGATAAACTGATAAAAATCCCAACACAGATATAAGTGAACACATATTAGCTGCCCAATCTCTCCTCTGCCGAAATTAAAAGTGGGGCAAGATAGAAAGCTCTTTTTAGTAAAAAAAAAATGGAAAGCAAGGGGAAAGAAAAGAAAAAAAATCTGCTTTCTGCACAAGGTTTCTCATAGTGTAACAATCTGTCGTAATCAGACAGCGTCCATGGAGTCAGAGCTCACTCCCATAACAATTTGGATAGAGAGATGTACTGTGTTGATTTGAAATATTTGCAATATTTGAGTTAACTCCTCCACCAACTGTCTCTTAAACATTTTTATCGTCACATATTCACATATATTCACTTGTAAAAGCAGCTGATCTTGCAATTGCCATTTCTTATTTCCCTTTCAGAAAACTATTATATCAGTTTAGGCAAAATTAATCTGTAGGAATTACAAAGCAGGGTACAAGCCTAAACCCCTTAAGTGTTGGTCATCCTTATTTGGATATGTGGCAAAATAACCTTGAGAAGCCAGACTTGGCTACGGTGATTCACGCTTTTGTTACATCTCGAATAGACTACTGCAACATGTTCTATGTGGGGTTGCCTTTGAAGACTGTTCGGAAGCTTCAAGTATTTATTTATTTATTTGCGGCATTTGTGTACCGCCCTTCAGGTTCAGGGGACTCAGGTTGGTTCACTGTGTTGGCAACAATTAGTTCAACAAGTAGTCCAATGGGCGGCAGCCAGGTTCCTACTTGGGTGCCAGTCTGCTACCAAGCACATTTCAAAGAGCTGGCTCTATCCTATAAATCCCTAGCCTATAAAGCCCAGCTTATCTGTCTGAGCATATCTCCCTATATGATCTATCTTGGAGGCTGAGATCTTCTGGGTAGGCCCTGCTCTCGGTCCCACCTTCTCAGTGGTGGCTCCTTGGCTGTGGAACTCCTGGTGTTCAGGAAACAACTGAAAACTTGGCTATGCAAGCAGGCATTTGGCAAGTTATAGTATAACTGAAGCAGCTAAATGAGATCTCTGGAACTGGTGCAATGTTTAATATGTTTTATATTCATGTTATGATTTGTCTTTGTATAGTTTTTAATGGTTTTAATTCATATTTATATGTTATTGATTTAGTTAGTTTTGTTATGTATTTCTTTTACATGTATGTTTGGCATTGAATTTTTGCCATTTTGAAATGTTGTACACCACTCTGAGTCCCCCCAGGGGTGAGAAGGGCGGTTTAGAAATGCAGTAAATAAATAAATAAATAAATAAATAAATAAATAAATAAATAAATAAATAAATAGTATTTTCTGCATATAATGGCATTAAAATGAGGGCTGGGGGGAAAACTCCAGGTTGGAAAACAAGGAAACCATATGGCTGAAATAAATTAAATGTAAGAGGTATTAATAGGCAGCCAGAGTGTACTCCCTTGCATTAAGTATATAAAAAGTTACAAGGTGAGACAATTCTCCAACAGCTTTTTGATAATTCGCATAAAGAATTACTCCGTGCAGTTGTCCATTTATCTGAGCAGGTTCTTGCCTCTATTCAGAATTGATATTTTTTGCCAAAAGTGGGGCAGGGTCTGCAAAAACAAAAGCTGGTCTAAGACCTATAAAAGCAGCAAAAAGCAAACAAAGTAAGGGAGGTGTGCATTTCTTAATTATTGTAGTAAAAACCAATAAGGAAGCTTTCTTGGAGCTGTGCATTTACTTCAGTGGGTTTTACTGAGCAGCATCCCAGTGGTTTATATCCCAAACACATCTGACTGCAAATAAAAACTAGGGATTCAACTACTAATGTCACAAACCTTTGTGTAGGATTACAATAACAGCTACAAGCAGCCCACCCTGATCAAAGATTATTACTTTGACTTCATGTATGGATTTAGATCAGATTGAATTAAGTTGGTTTAAGCTCAAACTGTGTTGATTTATATTTTTATGTTGTTTATAGTTCAAGAAATTACCAGAGGGCCCTATTCCTCCAACAACCCCCAAGTTTGCCTATGGCCGTGTTCCACTGGTGAAGGTAAATATATTCCATGTACATAGGATGGATGCTTGAGTTTTACAAAAGTTAGAAGTATTAATTTGCTTTGTCAGCAATCTGTAAACTTGGGAAAAGTTTGTGAGTTTTCTGGGGCTGGATTCTGTAGTTTTCTCAAGCTCATTAAGTTCTTCTTATGGGGAATGTTATAATGTACCATTAAAGAACACTATAGAAGTTACATTTCATGCAACAAAACCTGAGAAATCTCATTCTTAGAAAAAAGATATGCATTCAGATCTTTGAAGGAGAAGATGTGGCTGTAAGGTACCCAAATATTCTTATCTTACACAGTCACCCTCTTGGCTTATTATATACTAGCTGTACCCACCACGCGTTGCTGTGGCCAACCTTCTCTCCCTCTTTCTCTCCTTCTTTCTCTCCTTCCTTCACTCCCACTTTCCTTTCTTTCCTTATTTCCTTCCTTCTCTCCTTCCTTCTTTCTCTACCTCTTTCTTTCCTCCCCCTTTTTATTTTCTTTCCCCTTTCTCTCATTTCTTCCTTCTCTACCTTTCCTTCCTTCTTTAACTCTTTCTTCCATCCTTCCTTCTCTCTTCCCTTCTTTCCTTCCCTCCCTTTTTTTAATGATTCCCTCCTTCCTTCGCTCCCTCTTTCTTTCCTTTTTTCTGTCCTTTTCTCCTTCTTTCCTTCTCTACCTCTTTCTTTCCTTCCTCCTTTTTCTTTTCACYCCTCTTTCTCTCCTTTCTTCCATCTCTCTCTTTCCTTCCTTTGCTTTTCGCTTTCTTCCTTCTCTCTTTCCTTCTTTTATTCCCTCCCTCTTTTTCTGCTTCCTTCCCTCCCTCCCTCCCTCCCTCCCTCCCTCCCTCTTTTCTTCCTTTCCTTTTTTCTGTCCTTTTCTTTTTCCTTCCTTTTCTACCTCTTCCTTTACTTCCCCCTTTTTYRTTTCCTTTCGCTTTCTCTCCTTTCTTCCTTCTCCAATTCTTTCCTTCTTTCACTCTTTGCTTCCATGATTCCTTCTCTCTTTCCTTCTTTCTTTCCCTTCCTCTTTCTCTCCTTCCTTCCATCCATCCATCCTTTCTTTCTTTCTTTCTTTCTTTCTTTCTTTCTTTCTTTCTTTCTTTCTTTTTCTCTCTCTCTCCTTCCTTCCCTCCCTTTTTTCTGTATCGTCATTGAGCTTGTCATCATTTAACTTTTTGGGGTTTTAAAGTCTTTTCCACTGGTTTTTCTTTGGGGGGGGGCAGTTATGAGTGATGGTCACTTGTTGGTCTGTTAGGGGTGTAATGTCCAAATTTTGTGTCAATTCGTCCAGTGGTTTTTGAGTTATGTCAATCCCACAAATGAACATTACATTTTTATTTATATAGATTTTTAGCAGCTCTTTTGAGAGCATATGAAAACAGCACCAATAGGTAGAATGGCTACATGTTTCCTTTTCCTGGCCTATACACTATACTACATTTTAGATAACAATACCAAAGAAGATTTTTTGGGGGGGGGGGAGGATATGATTATGATTTCAATGCATAAAAATTGTAGTGTAAGCAATCTTTACAGTCAATGACCAGAATTTGCAAATGTAAACATGAGTTTATACTGCATTTTCATTTTTAACATTCACAGTTTTAATAGTGAATGTATCGCCTGTCATTGCTGCATTGTAGGTGGGTGCAGTGAGGGACCTTCTCAAGGACTTGTCACCATCAGGACCAGTAAAATCCACCTACCCTTTACCATTTGTTCAACTGAAGCAGGTACGCATTAGAAGGTTTGGCTTATTATAAAAGTAATGGTAAAGATTTCCCCCTGACATTAAGTCTAGTCATGTCTGAGTCTGAGGGGTGGTCCTTATCTCCATTTCTAAGCCGAAGAGCTGACATTGTCCATAGAACCTCCAAGGTCATGTGGCCAGCATGACTTCATGGAGTGCTGTTACGTTCCTGCTGGTGGGGTACCTATTGATCTACTAACATTTGCATGTTTGCAAATTTCTTGGTTGGTAGAAGCTGGGGCTAACAGCAGGAGCTCACCCCACTCCCTAGATTCAGACCTCTGACCTTTCGGTCAGCAAGCTTGGCGCAAACATTCAATATGCACAAATGTGAACACTAGGGGAGTTTGGGGAAAATAGACCTTGACATTTGGGAGTTGTAGTTGCTGGGATATATAGTTCACCTGCAATCAAAGAGCATTCTGAACCCCACCAATGATAGAATCGGGCCAAACTTCCCACACAGAATCCCCATGGGCAACAGAAAATACTGTGTTTTCTGATGGTCTTTGGCGACCCCTCTGACACCTCCTCATGACCTCCCCCATGTTGAGAAATGGTTCTCTAAAAGGTGGCACATATTCCTTTCTATGCTGATACAGATGAACATAGCTATATGCATATTTAGTATAAACTGCTTATCTTCTGATATTAAACAGTATTCTTAAAACCCACATGTTTTTACTCTGTGGTGGATAAAAATGAGATACATTGGAATCAAAGTCAAGAACGTCTGTTCTTTATCTTGTAATCTGATTTTGACTTGTTTTGAATGAGTCACGTCTTTTTTCATGACTTTCCCCTTTCTTTTTTCTCCAAGTACTTTGGATATGTATTATACAGGACCAAGTTACCAAGAAACTGTACTGAGGAAGCTCCTCTATCATCAATATTTGATGGAATTCATGACCGTGCCTATGTCTCTGTGGACGGGGTAAGGGGTCAAGATGCCAGAAGTCTCAGTTTTCTTGTTGTGATAACTCCACTTACAGCTATTTTGTTCTGGTTGGTTTTTCTACTTTTCTTCATAGGAGATCAGCCATTTATACCCCATGGTGAGGGCCCTACCTGCTTTTATAACCATGATTAAATTCAAAAAATGGGAAAGCATTTGAATTCTTCCTAGGTCAGGAGTGAGAACTGTGGCCGGCTTGCTCAATATAACCCATGGAGGTTACCCATGCATTGGCTTGATCCTGTCTCATTTCCTCAAAGCCCTGCCTAGGCAAGCTTTTCCCCAGGTCAGTGCTGCAGAGAAATGGTGATGATAACAGTGGTTCTCAACCTGTGGATCCCCAGATGTTTTGGTCTTCCACTCTCAGAAATCCTCACAGCAGGTAAACTGGCTGGGATTTCTGGGAGTTGTAAGCCAAAACACCTGGGGACCCACAGGTTGAGAACCACTGTGATAGCGATTAGGTCTCAAATTCATGGTTGCTCTTTACTACAAAACCTATAGTACTGAGTTGAAGCATGTTGAAAGGATGATGCTTCCAACACAATGATTTGCCCCCTGACATCTTTTGGCAATCTGGGTTAGTCTCAAGGAAATCCACCCCTTAGATTTTTCTCGTCTTAAATCTGTGGCCAGGGCTGGAATAGGGGCAAGGTATTGTCCTAGTGATTCTGTTGTGCTTCAGAAGTGCATTTCAAAATTGCAACTTGACGAGTGCATATCCAAATATTCCTGCCACGTTGAGCTAGAGATCATCCCCATAACTGACTGATAATTCGGGTACGGTAAGGTAAGGGTTTTGCTCTGACATTGCCGTCGTGTCTGACTCTGGGGGTTGGTGCTCATCTCCATTTCTAAGCCAAAGAGCCAGCATTGTCCGTAAACACCACCAAGGTCATGTGGCGAGCATGACTGCATGGAGCACCGTTACCTTCCCACTGGAGTGGTACCTATTGATTTACTCACATTTGCATGTTTTTGAACTGCTAGGTTGGCAGAAGCTAGGGCTGAGAGTGGAAGCTCACACTGCTCCCCGGATTAGAACATGTGACCTTTCGGTCAACAAGTTTAGCAGCTCAGTGACTTTACCCACTGTGCCACTGCTGGCTCCTTAATTTAGAGGTGCTAACAATTTCTGAGATGCATTAGAAGGCATCAGAGACAGTCTATAGCCCTGATTCCCAACATGGAGCACACATCCCACAACATAACTCAATCATAACACCCTCAACATAACTCAAAAACCACTGGACGATTTGACACCAAATTTGGACACAATACACCTATCAGGCCAACAAGTGACCCTCACTCATTAAAACACTGAAAAACACAGCAGAAGAGATTTAAAAAGCAAATAACAAAAATTACATTACAACGCAGGCGCAAAACCACATATATATATACGCAAATACACATATATACACATATACACAAATATATACACACACATATACAATGCGTGGCAGGGGACAACATATATATATATGTGTGTGTGTGTACAAATGTGATTTTTTTATTTCTTATTATTCTGGAGGCCTCATATACAGTATATAAATATATACTGTGACATACACATTTTCAAAATTAAAATCAGAATGTGCATGGCGGTCAGCTGGTGAAAATAGAGAGAGGGAAGGCCCACTAATAGTGAGGAGTGAAGAGTGTATGGAGTTAACTAGAGTGTGCATGAGTACAGAAAATGGAAGACACTTTCATTCCAAACACCCTACTCCTCTCGGGGTTCTGTTAACATTACAAGCGAGACAAAATAGATAAACAATGTCTTTTTCTTATTGCATATGAATGTAACAAGAAATCTGTGAAAAAATCCAAAGCACAATTATTACTTTCATAGGTAAGTCAATATTTTTGTATGAATAAATAAATAAATTTCAGACGCAGGAAATTATTATCAAGGGACAAGATATTCCCACATATTCTCACTAAATAATGAGCAATGAAGTTGGACACTCAAGTTACCCTGAATTTGATGCGGATTACTAGGCATGTACATTTTGGCTGAACCTCAAGCTGTTTCTGCTGGCGAGATATTGGTAGACCCACATATCCATTTTCGCACACCTCCCGATAATGGGTGGATAGTTGGATAGCTGTTTTCAGTTCATAGCCTAAAAATGCGGCGAGATCCGGCCCATTGGCGGCAGTGGGGTACTTATGAGACTCCCCTTTCCATTCCCGGGAGCATTTCCTTTTTTCCTTCAAGGGAATCTCGGTGCCAGTGTCAGCAATGGGGTTAAAAAAGCACCCTGTTCAGCCTATTATGGAGGGAGGGGGGACCTCCCACAGGCTCCCCTTTCACATCCTTCATTAAGACCTGGATTAAAAGCATCAGTTAAGATTCAACTCTTTCTGCAATCCTTTCCTTTCTGTCTGTAGAGGAGACTGGGTTTAATGGTTCTTAAAGCTGTTTCTACTCTAGAGGAGAGGCGGTGCAGGCAGGTGCGTGATTTCTCTCCCGGGCCTGCAGCACGCCACTCGCTCTTTCTGAGACATTTTAGGGAGGCCCAGGGAAGGAAGAGCAATGTCTTGGAGCTATCCTACCTGGACTTCCTTAAAAAAACCCTCTCCTTTTTCTGCTGTGCCTGAAGTGGCAGCTTCAATCTCCTTTCTGCTTCAGGTTTAGTGCTTCCTTAAAGCTGTTTCTACTTTCTACTCTAGAGCAGAGGCAACCAGGTAGTAGTAGTTTCCAGAGAATGAGGGTTTTCTTTTTGTTTGCTGGGATTTATCATCATCATCATCACCATCATCATCATCATCATCTTTTAGAAGTATTTGAAGGAGAAGAAGGGAAGGAGAAAAAAAGCTAAAAGGGGGACTCTCCCAAGCCCTCAAACCCACTCGAGCACCCCACTCACCCATCCCGCATGTCTCCAACTTCCAGTCAATCCCACTAAATAAAAAGAATGAAGAAACTAAAGGAAAATCAAAAAGATTTAGCTGTGATGCTAAATAGGGAAGAAGGAGCCAAAATTGGCCACCACGTGGTCCTATTACAGACAGGAATCTGTGATGGCTGGGCCCTTGCCGTTACAGGCACCCAAACAAACCGAAGAAGCTGGATTGGCTGAAGGGAAACTGCTAAAATGGATCCACGCTCAAGCCTACAGATTACTCAAATCAATTCATTCTTTTTTCACTTTCATACATGCCATGCTCTTTGGAATCTTGTTTAGACCAAGTTAATTCCTACACATGAATAGGAGTTCATGTTTTCAATAATAAGAATTATGTGTCACTGGGGGGTGGAGGTAAGGATCAGAATTTTAGAGATGCTCAGGTGGGCCATGACCAAAAAAAGATTGGGAATCACTGGTCTATAGTTTCAAGTTCAAGCGGCTTATCATTTTCTCACAGTGCTTCTGTGGTATTCAAAGCAGATAAGAAATGCCATGTTGGTGATTCCTTTCCATTGCCCCTCATAGAGAAGGCAAATCTTGAGGAGGGGAAATCTTGACTCTTGTATCAGAAGATCGCAGATAAAGGGAGTTATTTAGGGAAAATCCAAAAAGCAATAGACTATTATGTACACTTTACATAATACGTAGTGTCTGCCAGCAGATCAGGGGCGATTGAATCTGCTATCCATCTTGTGATTCATGTTTTTGTGATTCTGTTTGTTAGGTTCACTTTCCCCCTCTGTTTCAACTGTATTTTGTACTTCCTTTCTAAAAAGAAAGATAAGAGCACCAAGACAGTCATACATTGCTTTCATTACCTGTTTGACTATACCTGTCAAATGTATCAGTTTGATTCAGCCACTTAACTTCCTGAATTTAGTGGGTGGGGAAACTCATATTTTGCCAAAACAAGTTGTTTGGTTTCCACAGCTAAAAACATGAAGATGTTGGACTTCTCAAATGAGTATTATAGTGTGCACTTCTTTCAGACTGCGAGCTGTCCGTGTTTGGTTGGAAGTAAAGTTATTATTAAATCACTATTTTATTAAGTACAGATAACCAAACAATAGAAATGTGCAATGCACCTAAAGCACCTTGTGTTCTACATCCTGGTTCAAATTCTGATGTTAAGTGTTGATTTTAATGCAGGTTCCTCAGGGAATTCTTGAAAGAAGCGGTCAAAAACAGCTGAATATAACAGGGAATGCTGGAGCAGATTTGGATTTGTTGGTGGAAAACATGGGCCGGGTAAATTTTGGAAGATTCAACAATGACTTCAAGGTATATCTTCACCTGTCAGTAACTTCCCCAGAGATGTGTGCTTGCAACATCTCCAGTCACAGAGAAAAGAAGGCAACTTTTGAGAGAAATTGTAGGCGCTTAACTCAGCGTCTACAATTTCTCTCRGAAGTTACCTTCTTTTCTCTGTAACTGGAGATGTTGCAAGGACACATCCAACAGCATTCAACTGTTTTGCACTGTTTTGCACGCTGAGTTTGGAAAYTCAGCAGTCCCCAAACTATGTTTCATGGCACTCTAGGGTTCCACAAAAGCATCATAGGGGTTCCACRAAGAATCTTTATAATCTTTTAAAAAACTTTTGTAAAAGTCCATGTAAGTTGGATTTCTTTTATTTACAAACATACTAACCTTGGGAAACCATTCCAAACCTACTAACCTTCCAAAACTTGGGAAGACAAACTTGGCCACAGTAGTCCAAGCTCTGGTTACATCCCGAATAGGCAACTGCAACACGCTCTATGTGGGGTTGCCTTTGAAGACTGTTCAGAAGCTTCAAATGATCCAACCGGCAGCAGCCAGATTGCTCACCGAAGTGGCGTACAGGGAGCATACAACTTCCCTGTTATGTCATCTCCACTGGCTGCCAGTCTGCTACCAAACACAATTCAAGGTGCTGTCTTTAACCTATAAAGTCCTAAATGGTTCTGGTCCAGCTTACCTGTCCAAACGTATCACCTTCTATGATCCACCTCAGAGGCTAAGATAGTCAGGGGAGGCCCTGCTCTTGGTCCCACCCCCCTCGCAAGCCCAACTAGTGGGGATGAGAGACAGGGAGCCTAACCCCGGAGCCATGTTTTTAGTTTTTTCCCAAAGGCCAGGAGGGAGGGGGCTGATTTAATTTCACTGGAGAGGGAGTTCCACAGACAAGGGGCCACCTTCTTAGTGGTGGCCCCTTGTCTGTGGAACTCCCTCTCCAGTTAAATTAAATCGGCCCCTTCCCTCCTGACCTTCAGAAAAAAAACTAAAAACATGGCTCTGGGGTCAGACTTTTGGTCAATAATGGGACCAGTGCAATCAGAAACTATAAATTAATATAATGATGACCCAGACTGGCCCTGGAATATGACCAGGATTATTTTATTTTAATTGTTGTTTAAATGTTATTTTTAATTGGTTGGTTTTAATGTTTTTGTTTATTCATTGATGTATGTATACATGCAGCATTGAATTGTTGCCTTTGTAAGGCCACCTTGAGTCCCCTTCGGGGTTGAAAAAGGCGGGATACAAGTATGATAAATAAATAAATAATACTATATTATATAAACACCTATGCAATAGGAATAGATGAAAGAAGAATTTTGTGGGTTCGCAGTGCTTATGTACAGAATTAGGGAAAATCAGGGACATGACCAAAAAGGTTTTGGAACTAGTAAAGAAATGTGCCCTACTAATATTCATTTAATGCAGACAGACCTCAGCTCCACAAATCACACCCACCTCTGGTAAATAAATTAATAATAATAATAATAATAATAATAATAATAATAATAATTTATATATAAACTATCCTCTCTCCCCAGGGGAACTCAGTGCAGGAAGAATGTGCAGTGAGTGCTTAGCAGCATATACTTGCATGGTTTGGCTACACTTCAACATGAACATGTAGCATTGTATGTTTTATGTATTTTTGCGTTCAAAACAATCATCTTTTATCTTGTATGAGAAGCTGTATCAAACCATGCTTTCCTTTGGAGGTGGAGCATTTCTTTAGCTGGTGCAAGTTTTACTGTGAACCTTCTAATGCAGAGGCCTCCCTCAACACCCTTCTGTATGTACATAAATCTTGAGAGTAAGCCATGGTTAGCTGATTTCTGTGATCAGCTAATTTCTGCGTCCTTCCCTCCAATTCTAATCATTATAACACTCCTTTTGTTACCACTCCTTTTGTGGAATAATTCTAATTTGGGTGGGAGATGTAATAATTTTCTTCTCTTAAGAATATTATGAGTTCACATTGCCTCTGATGCTCTACATTTCAGTAAATGGTGAGGCTTATGCTGTACCCACAACTCACCTTAGCATCAGTTAACATAGGATCAGTTGTGTGCTTATGTGGCATTATGGAGAATGGCAATGGGGAAACTCTGGCCTCCTGTATATTTCAGGTGATAATTTCTAGTGATTTCTCTTGTTAGCCATGCTTGGTGGTGTGATGACAATTGTCAGTGAAAATATCTGTATGGCTATCGGTAACCCGGCCTCATGTAGAAAAACATTTGCCTAGACTGGCTGTCTATGGATGGGGTCTTGAGGAGCCATTAGCCATAATTGTAATCTGGTGGCAGGACTCTCACCAGTAAACCACAGAAATGATTACTAGATGTCACTGGCTGAATTGTGTTCAACCTGGCTTTCCAAGGGGGTTGTTTGTTTATCTGCAAGGTGTGTTGTCACAGTACCGTAACCACCGGAGGAATGTGATTGAAAAAGTAAGTCTAGGTGAATTAGTCTTTCTGTAAGATCACTGGGGTTTTAAAAAGTTGCAGCTTAATAATTATTATCCAATATATGAAAGCCACCTTAATTAATCATAGGGGTTTTTTTTGGCGGCGGGGGGAGCGGGGAGGTGTTGAGCTTTCAAAAATGTGGAGGTTTTCCACAGGATGTGGAAACTTTTTTCATGTGAAGCATAGCGCATCAAAGCGTTCAAAGGTGAGATCAGTATCCTTGATTAATTTTATCAAACAAAAGATCTCTGAAAAAGGAGCTTCAAAAATTGTGGGCCCAGGTATTAAGCTGCCGGCTTTGTCACGTGAGCAAAGATCTGCTTAGATCTACGAAGGCATCTTCATATGTTAATACTGACATGCCTGCTTGTTCTTCAGATAAAAAACATGGCAGTTTAAATGTCCGTGTTTCAGATTTAAGACTTTGAAATAGGCTCATATAATCACGGCTTGCAAAAAAACAAAAACAAAAACAAAACCCAACTAAAATCTTGCCAGGGTGGCTTTTTATATTTCCTGTTCTTGTTAAATGTGGAAAAAACTGAGATATTTAATGACAAATAGATCTTATACTTTTCTTGCCACCAAATAATAACTCCTGTCAGTTACGTTTTTATGAACATACTAGCCGTCCTCTGCCACGCGTTGCTGTGGCCCACATGAGGATTCTGTGCGGGAGGTTTGGCCCAATTCTATCATTGGTGGGGTTCAGAATGCTCTGTGATTGTAGGTGAACTATAAATGTTCCCCCAACTCCACCAGTGTTCACATTTGGGCATATTGAGTATTCGTGTAGTTTGGTCCAGTCCCATCATTGTTTGAGTCCACAGTTATCTCTGGATGTAGGTGAACTACAACTCCAAAACAAAGGGCACTGCCCACCAAACCCTTCCAGTATTTTCTGTTGGTCATGGGAGAACTGTGTGCCAAGTTTGGTTCAATTCCATCGTTGATGAGGTTCAGAATGCTCTTTGATTGTAGGTGAACTATAAATCCCAGCAACTACAACTCCCAAATGACAAAATCAATTTTTTTGAGTGAAGGACATACATTGGGTTGTTAGGTGTCTTGTGTCCAAATTTGGTGTCAATTCGTCCAGTGGTTTTTGAGTTCTGTTAATCCCACAAACTAACATTACATTTTTATTTATATAGATTTGAAAAGCATATCAGTTTTCTCTACATAAGAACTTGAGTAGTTGATCTTAATCTTGTAGATCAGTGGTTCTCAATCTTCCTACTGCCGCGATCCCTCAATACACTTCGCCATGTTGTGCTGACCCCCAACCATAACATTATTTTCGTTGCTACTTCATAACTGTAATTTTGCTACTGTTATGAATTGTACTGTAAATATCTGATATTCAGGATGTATTTTCATTCACTGGATGAAATTTGGCACAAATACCTGATTTGCCCAAATTTGAATATTGGTGAGGTTGGGGAGTGGGATTGATTTTGTAATTTGGAAGTTGCAGTTGCTGGGATTTATAGTTCACCTACAATCAAAGAGCATTCTGAACTCCAACAATGGAATTGAGACAAAAAATTTCCACATAGAACCTCCATGACCAATAGAAAATACTGAAGGGATTTGGGAGGAATTGACAGTGATTTAGGGGAGATGTCGTTCATGTACCTCTGGAAAGTACTGTGAACCCAAACAGTGATGGATCTGGAGAAAATTTGGCACAAATACCTGATACACAGACATTTGAATACTGGTGGGGTTGGGGGGGATTGATTTTGTCATTTGGGCATTGTAGTTGCTAGGATTTATAGTTAACCTACAATCAAAGAGTACTCTGAACCTAGCCCACAATGGATCTGCACCAAATTTGGCACACTACCTACATGGCCAACATTGGGAATGCGAGGGGATGGGAGGGGCTGTTTTTGAATTCTGGGAGTTGCAGTTCACCAACACTCAGAGAGCACTCTGTCCCAAACTGGCAATAAAGGAGGAAAAGAGCAGGCAGAGAGATTTTCAGCCTTATATGCCAAAAGGGTTCCTAAGACCATTAGAAACAGTATGTTTCTGATGGTCTTTGGCGACCCCTATGAAACCTCCCTCGAGACCCCCCTCAGGGGTCCAGACCCCTAGGTTGAGAAATGCTATTGTAGATGATATTGCAAAAACAATTATTTTCTAGCCGATCATTTATTTACTTGGTGTTCATTATTCTAAAGGTGTTCAATATTGTCATCCTGTAATAATACCAGCCAGCATAGTCTCCAATTACTCACTTATTCTCTATGGCCCCAAATGATATGTTTTTTAAAATATATTCAAGTCCCTAAGAGCTTAATTGACAGGAGTGGTTGTTTGGTGGCAAGAAATAAGATGTATTTGTCATTAAATATCTCAATTTCTGCAAATACCAGTTTGGGTGTCCTCCTGGACTCATCACTGATGCTTGAAGCTCAGGCGTTGGCGGTGGCTGGGAGGGCCTTTGCACAATTAAGACTTGTGTGCCAACTGTGACCATACATCATGAAGGCGGATCTGGCCAGGGTGGTCCATGCCTTAGTCACCTCCAGATTGGATTACTGTAATGCACTCTACATGGGGCTACCCTTGAAAACGGCCTGGAAATTTCAATTGGTCCAACGAGCGGCGGCCAGGTTGTTAACTGGTGTTCCTTACAGGGAGCGGTCAACCCTCCTCTTTAAGGAGCTCCATTGGCTGCTGTTCATTTTCTGGTCCCAATTCAAGGTGCAGGTGCTTACCTACAAAGCCCTAAATGGTTTGGGACCCGCCTACCTGCGTGACTGCATCACTGTGTATGAACCTACACAATCTCTTTGATCATCTGCAGAGGCCCTGCTCTCGCTCCCGCCTCTATCGCAAGCGTGACTGGTGGGGACGAGGGACAGAGCCTTCTCGGTGGTGGCCCCTCGACTCTGGAACTCACTCCCCAGGGACGTCAGACATGCCCCAACTTTAGGAGGAGCCTGAAAATGTGTTTTTTTCCAGTGTGCCTTCCCAGAATAAGGAAACTCCCAGCAATATGTCCCTAAATGCACTTTTTAGTGATCTAGGATTGTCTACATGCACTATCCCTCTCCAAAATTTCTATCCTGTTTATATGTCACCTGGTCACGCCCAGTATTATTTTTTAAATTTTTAATTAGTACATTGGCTCTGCCATAGGTTTTTAAACGCCGCTGTGTTATTGTTAATGTTTATTGCTATTTTCTGTTTACGAGTTTATTTATTGTTTGTATTACTATTGCTATTGTTTTTGTTGTTGTATTGTGGGCTCGGCCTCATGTAAGCCGCACCGAGTCCCTTGGGGAGATGGTAGCGGGGTACAAATAAAGTATTATTATTATTATTATTATTATTATTATTATTATTATTATAAATAGCAAATTCAGAAATGCAATGCTTGAGGACACGATCATCACATATTCAATGTAAAGCAGGTTTCGACAAGACAAATTCCTTCTGAATAAAGTGAGCTCTTCTGTAAATTCCATTTGTGTTAATTTGGTTTTATACCAAAACATAATTAACATCTTTTCATTTTTTTTAATTTTCTGATTTTCTGTCTGTATTTATGCAATTATGATAAATCTGTTTGCAGGGCCTGGTTTATAATGTTACTCTTGGTGACGAAATACTCACTGACTGGGAAATATATCCATTGGACATTGACCGTGCAGTAGCTGAAGGCCTGGAGAATGGCACGTCTGGAGGGAATGCGTCAAGCTATGAAGTGCCTGCTTTTTATATTGGTAGCTTTTCCATTCCTGGTGGAATCCCTGACTTGCCACAAGACACCTACTTAACATTTCCTGGTTGGACGAAGGTGAAGTTATTTTTTATGAAAAGTACAGTTATTTTGCATTGATATTTCTTGTACTTAAATAGAGACTGAGTGCAAAACTGCTCAGTTGGAGATTACTCATAGCTTTGGTTCAGTTGTCTGCAAACTTAGTCATACAAACAATCTCATTGTCTTTAACACTGATGGAATGACTAAATCATTACGAGACGTACAGTTGGAGAAGAACAAGAAACAGGTTGTCTCATCACACAAATTGCAATGATCTCGTGTGCTTTGTGGGGATTCAATACTAAGCACACGAGATAGTTACAATTTTATTTCCTGTTTCTCGTCTCCTCTCAGTAGGAGAGAGAGTATTTTTTTTTAAATTCCTTAAAATTGGTGGATGGGTGGATCTTTTTGACAAATAGCAGGAATGGTGCCCTGCTCCTCTTCTCTCACTGTGGAGAAATTCCAGACGGTAACTCTTTTGTTTTTGTTTTTTTAATTTAAAAATTAGGGCAAAACTTTAAAAATTAGCTGCCAAAGGTTTTCATGGCCAGAATCACTGGTTTGTTGTGAGTTTTCTGGGCTGTATTCACACTTGCCTCCAACAGACAAGAGTTCTTTCTCCCACCCTGGACATTCCACAGATATATAAATCTCACTTGCCTTATTTCCAACTTACCTCACAACCTCTGAGGATGCCTGCTATAGGTGTGGGTGAAATGTCAGGAGAGAATGCTTCAGGAACATGGCTATACAGCCCGGAAAATTCACAGCAACCTTTTAAAAATTCCATAAAAACAAGTGGATGTGCGAATCTTTCTGAAACATGTAGGTAAGGATGCTCTGGTTATGCTGTGTCATTGCAGAGAAATTCAAGCTCATGTATTCATAGCTTAAAAAAATTAGTAAAAGCTTCAAAAATATCCCAAAAATCATTAGATGTGCAAAATCATCTGAAACTTGGGGGACTTAGAGTGGTACATGTGTGTCACAATCCTAGCAAGTTTCATCCCAATAGCCCTAAAACTGAGGGAGGGAGGAGCCCCATTAGTGTCCCCATTGTCATGAATGGGTGAATAACATAATGAAAAACTAATGAAATTTTTGGAACTCCATAATAGATCTGACAAGGATCCCTTATTGATGTTTTTCAAAACCCTTTAGAATCAAAATGGGGATGGCATAAATTTTGTTAAGACAATCAAAGCAGGTTTTTTTTTAGTCATGCACACATCTAGTACATAGCAATGATAACCTTTTTAATCTCCAGAATTATTGAATCCCTTCTAAAGTCATCTAAGTTGTCAAACGCTTTCCTTGCTGGAATAACTGAGTTACTGTGAGTTTTCCAGACTGTATGGCCATGTTCCAGAAGCATTATCTCCTTACGTTTCACCCACATCTATGGCAGGCATCCTCAGAGGATGTGAGGTCTGTTGGAAACTAGGAAAGTGAGGATTGTATATCTGTTGAGTGTTCAGGGTAAGAGAAAGAACTCTTGTCTGTTTGAAACAGGTGTGAATGTTGATCAGCACTGAAAAGCCTTGCAGTTTCAAAGCCTGGCTGCTTCCTGCCTGGGGGAATCCTTTGTTGGGAGGTATGAGCTGGCTCTGCAGGAGTCTACCCTATACCATGAAGCAGTGGACAAGTCTACATAGGGATCACCAAATGCAGCACCCAAACACGAATCAAGGAACATGAAAACCACTGCAGATTAATTCAACCAGAGAAGTCAGCCATAGCAGAGCACCTGATGAACCAACCTGGACACAGCATATTATTTAAGAACACAGAAATGCTGGACCACTCTCACAACCACCATGTCAGACTACACAGAGAAGCCATTGAAATCCACAAGCATGTGGACAATTTCAACAAAAAGGAAACAATGAAAATGAACAAAATCTGGCTACCAGTAATAAAAAAAACTCTAAAATCAGGACAGAATATTTAATAGAACAGCACTCAGGAAACAGGGGAATTCAAGACAAAAAACAATAAGGGCCAAAACTGTCCAAAACTGCAAGTTGCTTCTGATGTGAGAGAATTGGCTGTCTGCAAGGACATTACCCAGGGGACGCCCGGATGTTTTACTATCCTGTTCACATGAGAAGTTGGAGCTGACAGACAGGAGTTCACCCAGCTTCCCAGATTTGAACCACCGACTTTTCAGTCAGCAATTCTGCTGACAGAAGGGTTTAACCCACTGGTCCACCGGGGCCTGTATCAGGGCCATTTGGCCTAGTTTCCAACAAGACCTCACAATCTCTGAGGATGCCTGCCATAGATGTGGGTGAAATGTAAGGAGAGAATGCTTCTGGAACATAGCCATACAGCCCAGAAAACTCACAGTAACAGATCTCACAACCTCTGAGGATGCCTGCCATAGATGTGAGCGAAATGTCAGGAGAGAATGTTTCTGGAACATGGTTATACTGCCCAGAAAACTCACATCAACACAATGACCTAAGTTGTTGCCACCAACATTTCCTGTAGGAGGACATTTCATAGTTCTAACTGTGGATTGTGTGAAAATGCTTTCCCTTGTCTGTGTCATATCTCCCACCATTCATAATCTTCGAAGGACTCCAGGTTCTAGTACTAAGAGAAAGTATGTAGTAATATGGAATACTTTTACTTTTTGATTTGTATGTTTTCATATTTTACATTGAACTAGCTTTTGTGTGCTGCCCCACTTGCAGAGAATGCAGGATGTATTTGCAGCTGAATAGCTGAAGCATTACTATAAAGATCAAACGAAAAAGGGCTCCTCTTCCTCCTGCAGAAGAGAGAGTAGTAAGATGTTCAAACTTTGCCAAAGCCACAGGTAGAGATTATTTTGATAAGGTTGTTTCTGAGGTTGAGGCTTTAGAAACACCTTGTGGAAAACAACTGATATTATCGCTGTCCAAAACTGCATGCAGCAAACTAAATTGCCTTAAGACAAATAAATGTTTAGATAGGGCGTTTCCAAAAACGTTTAAATATGAACCAAAATATAATTTTGAGTTACAGCATAAATTATTACATGGCACTCACAAATTGCCATCGCCTCAATTACTGCATGGTTTTATCAACATTTATAACTGTGGGCCCTTCCAGGCAGCCCTATGGATCTGATCCCAGGTTTTCTGCTTTAAACTGAGTTATATGAGTCCACACTGCCAAATAATGTGGGATCAGATCCTGGGATATAGGCCCATCAGGAAGGGCCCTAAAAGACATAACTTGATCAGTGAATTGAATTCTTCAGTTGTGTCATCAAGAATGTCTCCTGGTTTTGCTTCCCACATCATGTCTTATGTAGACAGATACCAGAGCACACAATACTTTTCAGTCCATCCCTGTCTAAGGACAGAACTTAGAAAAGCTACTTTTTAAAATTACAGCTCCTATACTCCTTTAGTAAGCATGGTGTCCATGGCAGCATGGAGATTCTGGGAGCCGTAGTACAAAAACAAACTTTTCCAGGAGTTGCACCATATTGAAAGCATTGTAGTCATCTGATCAGAGATTTACTTTTAACTTGTGTACGTGCTTCTGGGATTTGAGTGTCCAACTACCTCTGGAGCAGGGCCACATCAACCTTATGGTTGCCTTCAAAGGTCTGGTTGTAATTATAAGACTGTAACTCTGTTGCTCTGACACTGAAAGCCTTGCGGGCCACATAAAATAATGAGGTGAGCCAGATTCAGTCTGTGGGCCCTGCATTTGTGCCCTAGTTTACCTTTTATTTGACCAACTTTTGGCTTTGTTTGGATTTGACTACTCTGGCAGAAATTTTAGAAGGCATGAAAGAAAAAAACTTGATGAAAAGGTTGGATAATATTGCCATATCCCTAACTCAATACATTGAAGAAAGAAATGGGTAGGAGGAAGTACTTGGAGATGCCTACTAAAGTCAAAACGTGGCATTAATCCCTAAAAGCATGTTGGAACAGTATAGTTTTTACTAGATGCCCAAAGGCCAATAATAAGGGAGCCACCCTAACATTGATAGGACATTATTTCCAAAATGACAGTGCAGCTACAGAATAAGTTCCTGCCTAATGAAGCTTCTCCTTTTCCTTGCTCTTCTTATTGGCTTAAGAAAAATAAAGGTCTATAGTTTTTGTCTCCAGCGGGTAAACTTTTGATCACTAATTGTGAATGTAAAGCCTGGTTTAAGGAGCTGAAAGGGGCGAAACTATTCTGTTAACGTGTCTTACAACTATTTTTTTATGCCGCAATTGGGTCACTACTATCTATATAAATAAAAATGTAATGTTAGTTTGTGGGATTAACATAACTCAAAAACCACTGGATGAATTGATACCAAATTTGGTCACAATACACCTATCAGGCTGACGAGTGACCATCACTCAAAAAAACAAATAAAAAATAACACACAGTGGAAAGGACTTTAAAACCCAAAAACCCTAAAAGACATTACAGCGCATGTGCAAAAATGACTCCCTGCAAGGCTCCCTTCCCGCTGATGCCCAGGCAAGAGGTAGAGAAGGAAGAAAGGATAGGAAAAAAAAGGGAAGGAAGGAAAGAGGGATGGAAGAAAGGAGAGAAAGAAAGAGGGAGGCAAAGAAAGAAGGAAGGAAAGAGAGATGGAAGGATGGATGCAAAGAGCGATGGAAGGAAGGAAGGAAAGAGGTAGAGAATGAAGGAAGAAGAAAAAGAAGGGAAATAAAAGGGGGAAGGAAGGAAAGAGGTAGAGAATGAAGGAAGGAGAGAAGGAAAGAAAAAGAAGGAAGGAAGGAAGGAAGGAAGGAAGGAAGGAAGGAAGGAAGGAAGGAAGGAAGGAAGGAGGGAGGGAGGGAAGGTTGGCCACAGCAATGTGTGGCGGGTACAGCTAGTATAGAATATAAGAGCCAGTGTGATGTATGGGATTGCAATTTGGGAGATCCATGTTCTAGTCCTCACCAAAACAGCAAGACCAGGACTAGTAATACATTTCAGCCTGATAAACCTCACAGGATGGTTGCAATGTGGAAATCTGGAAGAGGATACCCCCATGCACTGCCTGGCAATCTTTGGCAGAAAGGCGTGGTAGAAAAGGAACATAATACGTGAATAATTTTGAATTAAGAATTTCATAAAATTTTGAAATAGGTTAAACATCTAAAATGTATTTCCTTCTAATGGTTCTTTCTTTGCAGGGACAAGTCTGGATCAATGGCTTTAACCTGGGACGCTACTGGCCAGTCCGTGGCCCTCAGCTAACACTGTTTGTTCCAAGCAACATTCTTGTTGCGTCGGCTCCAAACAATATCACAGTTTTGGAACTGGAGGAGTCCCCACACGCCAGCCAGAAATATCTGGTTGAGTTTGTAGACAAGCCTGTTCTCAACGCATCTCTTCACTATGACAGTAGCACTGAGAAGCTGTTCACTAGAGAATTATGGATGAATTATGTATGATTATGCTGCAGTACCTCTATATATCTCATTTTTTATTCGATAGACTCTTCTCGTTTTTTTTTACACTCACAGTTGGGATCAGATGGTATCAGTGTTTTCAAAATTAAGTGTGGAGAATTTATCAAATCAGTGTAATGTATCAACTAGTATTATCTATCTTCGATGAAATTTTCTATGAAATATTTGTGTTTGTAATGAGCAAGAAAAGAATATGATTTCCTGAGTGCCAATTAGTTTTCAGCAAAACCATTAAATGAATAGCAGTCTGTTAAAGAGAATCGACTTCTATTTCAGCTTAACTCTGTATTCCTCTTTTTCCGGGTGCTTTCATATTCAGGCCCAGATTGTGAAGATTTATAGCTTGATGGAAGATGTTAAAGTCTGAACAGCTTTTAGTGCATGAAAATTCAGTAAATATTTAAGTCACCAGCTTGTTTAAATCTCAGGGACAAAGGAAGCAGCCAAACTAGCCGTGACGCTAGCAATTTGGCTGCTCACTTCGCAGCGAATCCCACTGTTTGTTCATTCTGTTGTTTACAGGATTGGGCAGGTGGACAAGAGCTACCTGACTGCTCACTAATCTGTAAAGCAGGCCATTGCCTTGCTGTATGAGCAACTAACAGCTTACACAAGGGGCTATTGAACACCTCTTTACAAAAAGTTCTAAAAACAGCAGCCGCCAAAAGCATTTTAACCTACGAGCCATTAAAGAAGCCATTTTAACAGCTGTAAAAATGACATTTCAACTAGTTTGGAAATTTTTGTCATATTTTAAAAGAATTGTCCTTTGTGGCCTTCTATTGTCTGGAAATGAATGCAAAATTGCAACCATTGCAGTATAACGTATGTGAAAACATTCCTTCAATGCAGTGGTTTTCAACCTGTGGATCCCCAGGTGTTTTGGCCTACAACAGTTTACCAGCTGTTGGGATTTCTGGGAGTTGAAGGCCAAAATATCTGGGGACCTACAGGTTGAGAACCACTGCTTTAATGGATGCTAATTTGAAAGTGATTGTGTGGATCTGTTATCATCCTTTGATAGCATCTTTGGCCATGCTTTGAGAATCCTAAATCATAGAATGCAATGTAATGATCTCCCTCTCTCTCCTTCTCTCCCTCTCTTTTCTCTCTCTCTCTCTTTCTGCTTATTCAGTACTGTGATTTGAAGAAGAGAGATTATTCTTCTCTTCTTCTAGAGGCTTATATGTAATGGATGTCTGGAAAAGATATAATTTTGACAGATTTTGGATCTAATGCTGCATGTATGCACAGCGTTAGACTCCAATGCTCTTTGATTCATAGAGTGGGCTTGGTGTTTGCCATAGTTTGGCTCCAGAGTTCCTTGTGGATACCAAAGCCTGTGGATATTAGAGTCCCATTATATATGGTATAGTAAAATGGCATCCCTTATCTAAAACTGCAAAATTAAGGTTTGTTTTTAGGATTTTTAAATAATTTAATCCATGGATGATTGAATCTATGGATGCAGAATCTATGGATTTATTTATTTTTTTTTTGTCGTGTCAGGAGCGACCTGAGAAACTGCAAGTCCCTTCTGGTGTGAAAGAATTGGCCGTCTGCAAGGACGTTGCCCAGGGGACGCCCGGATGATTTGATGTTTTATCATCCTTGTGGGAGGCTTCTCTCATGTCCACGCATGAGGAGCTGGAGCTGATAGGGGGAGCCCATCCGCCTCTCCTCAGATTTGAACCTGCGACCTGTCGGTCTTAACCCACTGCGCCACTGGGGGCTCCAAATCTATGGATATGAAGGACCCACTGTATATTGTTTGATACTTCATCCTTTTGTCAAGGAGCTCATGGAAGCTAACTGGTGTTTACATTATCTTAATCTTTGAATACTGTGATGGAAGAATTGCTCAGAATTACTTAGCTTTTCATACTTTGCACAAAGGCAGGGGAACTCCTTTCTGTCAAGACCTAAAGTTCCTCATTGGCAATCCATGAAGGCTCACCTTGGAGGTCATAACTTTGCATAGAACTATTTTTGTCATTCATTCCTTTTCCCCCAGCTTTCCATTCCTTCTTTTCCCTTTGTTCGTCTCTCCTCCCATTAACACAGGTCAGAACAGGCGACTTGCAGAGTGTTTCCCCTTCATTTCTGTCCTCTCTCTGATTTTTATAGTCTCCCCTTACCCTGGAATCTCCCTCACTCTGCAAGCAACCTAAATGCAATGCTTCTATCTCCATGATTCCCAGAAAGTGGACCTGAGAGTCTGCAGTGTCTGGAGGACTACACAAGATTAGGATGGAGGGCTTTTGCAGCCTCAGATTCCCTGCCATTATTATATGCAATAACTCAGACACACTGTTCCACTAGGGCCAGCCATAGTAAACACAATATTTGAAGGGTGAATTGCATCCTCAAAATTAGAGGAACACGTTTTAGGTAGGGTTAGCCACTATTTGTCTGCAAGGCTACGGATGTAATTGAACTTCTGGATACATTTTGAGATAGATCTAAACTGCAGACTTGAACCCAGGTGCCAATGTTATAATTGAATCACATTAGGGAACCTGTGCCTTAACTGCACTTGCTTTATGAATGAAAGAGACAAAGTTTAATCCATGTCCTCTGCAAGGGAGGTCTAGAAAAAAATTGTGCCTGAACATCTTAAGATTCATAATCACTGTATACATTGTTGAGCTAGATGGACCAATGGAATAAAGCTACTTTTTCTGTCACTTACAAGTATTGTGTTCTGAGTTGGTATGAAAACACTGTCTGTAATATTTGGTCTGGAATAATTATATCACCTATACAAGATAAGATTGGATGTTTCTGCTTTATGGAAACTTGTTATCAGAGAGCTTGTGATTTATTACTCTACTGTGAACCCAGCCTGATGGATTGATTTCAATGAATGTTGTTATATTTTGTCATCTAGTCGGCTTTAGTTTGTGGCACCCCTATGAATGAGAGACCTATATGACATGAAATCAAAGAATTGAATATTAACATATTCTCTGATTCATGTTTGTGGATAATTTGGCTAAACAATAAATGGCAACATTGTGATTATAAAAAGATGAACTGCAAAGATTTAATGGATATGGATCAAGAGGTTGCTTTGATTGAAAAAATGTTTCTTGAACTCTGAACAGACTCATTTTAAGTGCATTCTGGTGCATTTCTCCATTTGCACTCTTGCCTTTCAGATCAGATTTGTGATTTACGAGGGTTGAATGGAAAGTAATGCCTCCACCTTTGTTAACTCCTCAACAGATGGCAGTACTGGCATGTGGCAGGTACTGGCTTGTTCAGTAGACTCTCCTCTACAGTTCCATTTTGCGGGAAGCCTTAGCATTGAACGGTTGTGTTGTTAAAGTGCAAAGTATGGAACCCTGCGCAGACGGTCGGTGGTAGTTAAAGAGCACATTCTAAGGATTATTTCCGCATTTGATTTATTAAAATATTCCCATCCAAACCCAAGTAACGAAGGTGGAGGCATTACTTTTCATTCAGCTCTCGTACTTTTCCCACTTCACACCAGTTGGAGCAGTGCGCACTGGCTAGACAGTTGCTTAGCCTTTCAGCACTCCTGTAGTTTTTATTGCTCTGGGAGTGGACATTGGGTCTGAAAGGAAGCCCACTAATCTCTCTGTTATGGGACAGACTCCATCTGGTTTGTAGGTGTATGTACTTAAGACTGGTGCTGGATCCACACTGCCATATAATTCAGTTTCAGAATGCAGGTTAACTGCTTTGAGTGTACACTGCCATATCATTCAGTTCAATTTACGTAATCTGCATTCAGAAACTTGATTATATGGCAGTTTAGATGGCGCCTGGGAGACCCACCCTCCAGATCAGCTCACTTGATGTCTGAATATGCTTGATTTCCTCTTCCTTTCCTTTCATCTTTTTGCATCATGCCTGATTGCAGAAGTTGCAAGGAGGAAGCATTTGCAGGAAGTTGGTGAAGACATTATTTTTGAGCAAGATCTGGTTCAGCCTTCTAAAGGCATCTTTGCTGTGGGAATGAGCATTGCCAAAGAATGGCCAGCATCATTTTGGGGTCATACACAGGCAGTTAGTTGCAGCACACAAGCAGAATGTTTTTACTGGGCATTGTGCAATGCCATATTCAGTTAACAGGAACAGAAGCGAAAGTGCGCATGCAGGACACATTCAAATGTACATTGGAGGGGGTGTTCGTGATCTACTTTGACCCTTTGCTCAACTCATAATAATGCTTATGACCCTATTGCAAAGTGCTCAGAGGCTCAGTGCGGAACAAGTACTGATACATCGTGTATATGTATAGCAACTGTGCAATACCAATGGGGTATGACTCATTTAGTAGCTATTTGCAGTATACGAGGGGTATTTTTTAAGTAAGGTCCGTTGGAACATAAGTACACAATGAAAGCTTATTTCAAAAAAGTAAATTTATTTTCAGAAAGTACATACTTCACTCTATTTTTTGACATGGTTGCCAAGTTTGTTCAAACTCTTATCATACCTCTGAACCAATTTTAAAATACCCTCTTCATAAAAACTTGCCGCCTCCTCCGATAACCAAATTGTCTTTAATCAAAGAAGGGCGACCAGAGCGGTCCTCATCATGGACGTTGTCACGGCCATCTTTGAATTGTCGTACTCACTTACGTACTTTGCTTTCACTCATAACAGTATCACCGTACACTTCACAAATCTGTTGATGAATTTCTGCAGCAGGCAGGTTCCTTGCTGACAAAAACCGTATCACTGAGCGAACCTCACATGCGGAGGGTGAGTTGATAGTCTTAAACATTTTTAAAGCACAGAACAGAACCATACAGGTTAGCTACAGAGCGGAAACTGAGCACAGTTGTTCCCGAGGCATGCCGGTACACGACACACACACTCGTTGCAGTATGCGCGCAAACTACTAGTGTCTACAACAAAACGGACCTTACTTAAAAAATTCCCCTCGTATTATGATGATGTAGGATCTTGGCCAATACAGCCAAATACTAAGCATGTCATTTTCATTTCTGGCCAACAGCACTGCTGAGGCATTGATTATGTTGGGAAAAAAGTGTGGAATCAACCCCTGTGTTCCAGTTAATATGTAAAGTGCCTTTTATATTGTCCGTGCTGCAAACTTGGAATATCTCTTGTTTCCATCAGTTGCTAGTCCCAGTCAGGACAAAGTATTGAATCAATTGTTGAAGGGTAAATCAGCACTTAAGTGAATATCCAGATTATGAGGATGATTGTTTTTATCCCACCCCTTTCCCATCCTGAGACTCAAGCCACCTTAAAACAATTAAAAGAAACAGCAAAAAATAAAAATGACCTCATTCCTAAGTGGAAAATGTAGTTAAATTATCAATAAAATTGAAACTTAAAAAAAAACATAGCCATTAAAAAAATTACAAATAGACAAAACATCACCTTGTGCAAGGCCCATTCTCTGAGCAGTTGGCTTTCAAAACCCTGGGTTGTTGTAGGTGTTTTGGGGCTATATGGCCATGTTCTAGAGACATTCTCTCCTAACATTTCGCCTGCATCTATGGCAAGCATCCTCAGAGGTAGTGAGGTGAGGATGCTTGCCATAGATGCAGGCGAAACGTCAGGAGAGAATGCCTCTAGAACATGGCCATATAGCCCGAAAAAACCTACAACAACCCAGTGATTTTGGCCATGAAAGTCTTTGACAATACTTTCAAAACCCTGTCAATGTTCTTCTGCTTGTGGAAAAATCAAAGAAGAGAATTTCAGAAAGAAAGCCTGGGAGATGTCCCTATTCCATGTATCCACCTAATGCACTTATAAGGTCGGTGGGATAGTGAGAAGGACCTCTTTCCCCAGAAGATCTCAAAACACAGGCAGGCTCATTTAGTCTTTCGGACTGTATGTGTGTGCGTGTGTGTATGTATTTGTCATGTCATGAGCGAACTGAGAAATTGCAAGTCGCTTCTGGTGTGAGAGAATTGGCCGTCTGCAAGGATGTTGCCCAGGGGATACCCGGATGAATTGATGTTTTTATCATCCTTGTGGGAGGCTTCTCTCATGTCCACGCATGAGGAGCTGGAGCTGATTCAAGGAGCTCATCCGCCTCTCCCCAGATTCGAACTTGTGACCTGTCGGTCTTCAGTCCTGCCGGCACAGGGGTTTAACCCACTGTGCCTCCGGGGGCTCCGGACTGTATATTGATTCAATGGGTATATTCTGGTTAGGACAAGTAGTTTGACTGAACTTATAGAAACTCTTCAATGCAAACTCTTATTTCATGTCTGTGACGGCTGATAGCAAACCATGTAATTTACTGGCTATTTTGCAAAAAGCTTTATGAAGCCAATTTTTACAAATAAAACATGCAACATTAAAATGATTTTGCAATATTCCTTGTCTTGAGTTTGGAATTTAACCAAAGTGGTAACGAAGTGTGTAAGATAAGTAGAATAATCTGTTTCACCAAAACCAATATAGCCTTTTGCATTCTTAAAGATTTGCCACATTTTATTTGGCATTTGGTGTAATAGACCAATGAATGAAATTAATGAAGTGGGCTACGCCTGGGAGACTAGGACTCGGAACAATGGGTTCAAATGACAGGAAAGAAGATACTACTGAACAGTAGGAAAAATATCCTGACTGTGAGAGCTGTCCAACAGTCAAACTCACTGCCTCGGAGTGTGGTGGAATCTCTTTCCTTGGAGGCTTTTAAATAGAGGCTGAATGGCCATCTGTTAGGGATTCTTTGATTGTGCTTTTGCTGCATGGCAGAGGGTTGGATTAGATGGCTCATACAGTCTTTTCCAATGCTATGATTCTATGAGAGCCTGGTTCTCATACACCGGACCGGGACCAGGACATCCGTAGGAATCCATAGGGATACCAAGATTCTTGATTATAAAGCTATTGTCCTCCCAATCCTGCTATATGCCTGCGAAACGTGGACTGTCTACAGACATTACATGCAACTCCTGGAACGATTCTATCAGTGTTGCCTCTGGAAAATCCTGCAAATCTCTTGGGAAAACAAGCGGACAAACGTCAGCGTGTTGGAAGAAGCAAAGACCACCAACACTGAAGCGATGGTCCTCTGCCATCAACTCCGCTGGACCGGCCACGTTGTCCGGATGCCCAACCACCGTCTCCCAAAGCAGTTGCTCTACTCCGAACTCAAGAACAGAAAACGGAATGTTGGTGGACAGGAAAAGAGATTTAAAGATGGGCTCAAAGCCAACCTTAAAAACTCTGGCATAGACACTGAGAACTGGGAAGCCCTGGCCCTTGAGCGCTCCAGCTGGAGGTCAGCTGTGACCAGCAGTGCTGCAGAATTTGAAGAGGCACGAATGGAGGGTGAAAGAGAGAAACATGCCAAGAGGAAGGCGCGTCAAGTCAACCCCGACCGAGACCGCTTTCCACCTGGAAACCAATGCCCTCACTGCAGAAGAAGATGCAGGTCAAGAATGGGGCTCCACAGTCACCTACGGACCCACAAGAATTCTGATCCTGGAAGACTATCCTACTCGGCCAATGAGGGATCGCCTAAGTAAGTAAGTAAGTAAGTAAGTAAGTAAGTCTATGAGATCACAAAAAAATGTTTACAAGACAATCACACCTTACTCAAATATGGATGGCTTTACGAGGCATTCACACCAGACTCTTGTTCAATGTGGATGTTTTGTTTTTGGTATGTGCATGTGCTGCGGTGGATATTGCGGACTCCTGACTCTCTAACTTAGCAAACATTCTAATTATAAAGGAAGGCTTCATCTAAATTGAAACACACTAAAAAAAGGGAGACGCTCCAACTCACCACTTTTTTCTTTTGATGCATAAAAAATAAGAAGCCCCCAAAGTGCTGCTTAAGCACCCTGAATTAGTCAGATTACTAGGCTTTACAGTAAATGTGGGGCCATGACTTCTCTTCTGAGTCAAAATGAATCTCGTCAACAATGACAGATTTCTGTCTGCTCTCCAAGAACCTGAATGACTGATACATAATACAATTTCAGAAAAATATATCAGAGTTATGGTCACTCTGTATCCAGAAAAACAATAATTTTACCAGTTATAATAACCTAGAAACATTGGTTGGGCATCCCGTTGCTTATAAGAGTAAATATAAGAAGCAGAATAATATAGCACCATAATAGTTTGTGCTCATTTCCATTAGAGGGCCCTTCCACACAGCCATATAATGCAGAATAACAAGGCAAAATAACTCACAATAACTGCATTGGGTTATCTGAGTCCACACTGCCATACATCCCAATTCAAAGCAGATAATGTGAGATTTTATTCAGCTGTGTGGCCGGGGCAAAAGTGTTTTCTTTTGTGTTACAATACTTAGAATTACTGCACTGATTTGTGGCATGGAAATATTGCTTCTTGGATAATAATAATACATAATATACATCACACAGTCCTAGACGCTTGGGAAGTGTTCGACTTTTGATTTTATGGTACGAAATCCAGAATATATATCTTATTTGCTGTGACATACTGTGTTTTTGTGTCAGTAAAATAGTAATAGTAATAATTTATTTATATTCTGCCCTATCTCCCCAAGGGCACTCAGGGAGGATTCCAGCATATACAGACACAAAGGCAAACATTCAGTGCCTAGAAACAATGACACACAGATACACAGATAAAGATAAAGTTTTCCCCTTTCATCTCTGAGAGTGGTGCTCATTTCCATTTCTAAGCCGAAGAGCCTGCATTGTCCATAGACACCTAGGTCATGTGGCTGGCATGACTGAATGGAGCATTGTTTACCTTCCCGCCGAGGTGGTACCTATTGATCTCACATTTATATGTTTTTGAACTGCTAGGTTGGCAGAAGCTGAGTCTAACAGTAGGAATTCACCCAGTCCCTGTGGATTCAAACTGACAAACTTCCAGTCAGCAAGTTCAACCACTCAGCGGTTTAACCCATTGTGCCACTGTTTTGTGGCTCAAAGTTCCACTCCCCCCCCCCCTTATTTATCTTAAACCTTTCATACACTTGTAGGTACAAAACCCATTGTGTAACCAGGCTTTCCCCTTTAAATTGAGTCCTCTCTTTTAATGTAAAGTTTCTGTTTTCTTTCATCAATAAATGGTTATAGGTTAACCACTTGCATTGACCTCCTAATTCTCTTATAGAAAAAGATTAAAAGGGTGATATCCACAAAGAAGCTTTAGAATATAATTTTTATTCATCGTGTCAGGAGCAAACCAAACAGTTGTATTGCATTTTTTTAAACAAACAAACAAAGAAAACACCAAGTTTGCAATCTTGGTGGTTGATTAAATGTCCTTTGACCAGTAGCTGGCCACTTGGAGTGCCTCTGGTGTTTCTATAAGAAGGTTCTCCATTGTACATGTAGCAGGGCTCAGGTTGCATTGCCGCAGGTGGTCTGTAGTTTGCTCTTCTCCACACTCGCATGTCGTGGTTTCTAATATATTTAATTTATTAATGCTTGTGGGTAAACAATATGTTACAATACAGTGTGTTACAATTGTAACACACAAAACAGTGTGTTACAATAGGGGTCCTTTTCAAATCTATGATACTATATCTCTCTCTGTGTGAATCATATATACCTATCTATATCTATGGCTCTTTATCAGGAGAGCTTTGATTACATATTCTTGCCCTGGTGAAGGGAGTTGGACTCGGTAGCCTTAAGTATTTACTGTTGGTCATGGAGGTTCTGTGTGGGAAGTTTGTCCCAATTCTGTCGTTGGTGGGGTTCAGAATGCTCTTTGTTTATAGGTGAACTATAAATCCCAGTAATTACAACTCCCAAATGTCAAGGAATATTTTCCCCAAACTCCACCAGTGTTCACATTTGGGCATATTGAGTATAAGTGCCAAGTTTGGTCCAGATCCATCTTTGTTTGGGTCTGCAGGGCTCTCTGGATGTAGGTGAACTACAACTCTCAAACTCAAGGTCAATGSCCACCAACCCCTTCTAGTGTTTTCTGTTGGTCGTGGGAGTCCAGTGTGCCACATTTGGTTCAATTCCATCATTCGTGGAGTTCAGAATGCTCTTTGATTGTAGATTAATTATAAATCCCAGCAACTACAACTCCCAAATGACAAAATCAATTTTTTTGAGTGAGGGTCACTCCTTGAGTTACTCGGTGTCTTGAGGCCAAARTTGGCGGCAATTTGCCCAGTGGTTTTTGAGTTATGTTAATCCCACAAACGAACATTACATTTTTATTTATATAGATAGAGCATCCCAGTGATAAAAGTGGGGCAGTTGAGAAGTTAAATCTGCATGTGGAAATCAGGCATCCCAGGGGTAGATACTAATTTAAGGGCCTTTCCACCACTTTAAATACCAGGTTTGGACATTCACTCATGGTAGGATGGAGCTACCATAGGCATTCTCTCTCCGGTAAGGAGCAAGGCTTTGGAGATGGCCTATTCATCTCATCATTTTTCAACTTTTAGGAATAGGAGTACTGGACAGCTAACAACATAATGGGTATGTGAGAATATTAAATCATTTTGGGCCACACAAAGCACATTATTAATCATGTAATATAGTTACAAATCATTACAGACTGTTCATTTCAGTTTTGTCCTGGGACCCATACAACTAGATGCTTGTCAGTTCTTTTTTAAACCAATACACAACAAACAAGGGATGCTGAACTGATTTGAAGACATTCTTGTCTCCAAAGGTAGAAAAATCTCCTGGCAGGAAAGAAGACCCCAAACAGAGATTAAATGGTGACCTGTAAGATAATTGAAAACCTTATCAGATATTTAAATGTCAATACAGTGCTGATGAGAGGGAATTTAACAGGTCTTGGAAAAATTTCTTGTGACAGCTTTTCCCAAAGATCCGGAGCCTTTATTCTCTTCTTCTGTTCTCAATGCTTTTGATGTAGACTGTGCTTATTTGTCAACATGTGAAGGTTCTGAGTTGAAAGTATACCTATCACTGATCCAGTGTATAAAGTGTGATTTTTGGCCTGTTCTCACCAAATCTCCTTCCTGGATCTTCAGAGCGCATCTTCTTCACTTGTGGATTGTGTGCGGAATGAGCTGGAGGATTCAACGGAAAGAGTATCAGGGAGACCACAGGCTTTGCACAATCTTTTTGTCAAGATGCAATTCTTAAAGAACAGCTTGATGTACTTCTTGAATTTTTGTCCCATAAAGAAGTAGATGACTGGATTGAGGCAGCAGTGAAAAAACGCGAGCGTCTGTGTCACTTGATCGGCATAGTCCAGGTTTTTGCTGAGACTGCATCCTGTAAGAATGTTAACGTCAAACAAGTACTGCAGGAAGAGGACAATGTTGTAAGGAGTCCAGAACACAAAAAACACAATCATTACAGCAAATATCATCTTCACAGCCCTTTTCTTCTTTTCATTTCTGCAGTGCAGTAACGTTTTAACAATGTGTGCATAGCAAAACAGCATGACCATGAAGGGTATAAGAAGGCCCAAAATGTTGGTTTCTAAAGAGGTAAAAAGCTTCCATGTTGTGTCATTCTTGCCGTATACTGACTTACATACAGTATGATTATAGTCACTCACAGTTTTGCTGAATATTAGCTCTGGAAAAGAAGCTGTGATGGCCACTAGCCATACGACAAGACTCGCAAGGGTGCCATAGCTGACGGTCCTTGCTTTCAAAGCAAACACAACATGAACGACGGCAAAATACCGATCAATGCTCATAAGCATTATAAAAAAGATCCCACTGTAGAAGCCAGTCCGGTAAACCCAAGAGATGAATTTACATAAGCCATCTCCAAACACCCATTCGTCAGCCACAAAATATGACCAGAAAGGAAGAGCGAAAACAAAAAGCAAGTCGGAGATGGCAAGATTGAGCAGATAAATATCCGTCATGCTTCTCAACCTCTTGTATTTGAACAGTACCAAAAGGACCAGTGTGTTCCCTGCCAAACCAAGGAAGAATACTAGTGAGTAAAATGTGGGAAGGAACCAAGAGCTAAATCTCTTTACTCCATCTTTGCTGCATGGTTCAGGACCGTCTTCATAGACATCATCATATAAGGAATATGCTGGGAATCCCATGGAGATGGTAGCAACATCTGAAGTAGAGGTCATTTTCTTTTTCTAAAGAGCAGAATTAAATGTGTCAGAATGGAAAAGGAATAGTTTTTTACTCAAAGTTACTTAGACTGCATTCCCATGCACAGTTACCTGACAATAACTGTGCATATAAATCCCCCCACACCCTGTGGTCAGAACCGAGCACAGCTTTCAAAGATGCTAAAAGATGGGTAAGCCTACAGATATCTCTATCTGTTGTCTGTCTTATCATTGTATAATCAGCATTGAATGTTTGCCATATACAGTATTTGTTCTGTGATCAGCTCTGAGTCCCCTTCAGGGTGAGAAAGGCAGAATATAAAGACTGGGTTGTTGTAGGTTTTTTTTCAGGCTATATGGCCATGTTCTAGAGGCACTCTCTCCTGACGTTTCGCCTGCATCTATGGCAAGCACCTCACCACACCTCACTACCTCTGAGGATGCTTGCTATAGATGCAGGTGAAACGTCAGGAGAGAATGCTTCTAGAACAGGGGTCCTCTAATTAAGGCCCGAGGGCTGGATATGGCCCTCCAAGGTCATTTACCCGGCCCTTGCTCGGGGTCAACCTAAGTCTAAAACAACTTGAAAGCACACCACCACCACCACAACAACAACAATCTTAACCAAAAGCAGGCCCACACTTCCCATTGAAATGCTAATAAGTTTATATTTGTTGAAATATTTCTTCATTTTAATTATTGTATTGTTTTTAAGTGGGTATTTGTTTTGCACTACAAATAAGATATTTGCAGTGTTCATAGGAATTTGTTCATTTTTTTTCAACTTATAATCCGGCTCTCCAACAGTTTGAAACACTGTGACCTGACCCTCTGTTCAAAAAGTTTGATGACCCCTGCTCTAGAACATGGCCATATAGCCCGAAAAAACCTACAACAACCCAGTGATTCCGGACATGAAAGCCTTCGACAATACAATATAAATACTGTAAACAAATATTGATCTCAGTAACATTTATTACTGAATAAATATGATGACAATTATATTGTCAACTAAGCATAAAACAAATTATTTTTTAAAATGTATAAATGCAATTCCAGAAATGGAGTATTCTCATGCAGTGTGTGTGTGTGTGTCTGTGTATACACACACATCTGCCTGCATGTGTGTATCACATATGCACACACCCAATGAGACCAGAGAGAATTAAGGTACAGAAAATATAAAGAGAATACACACAATGTCAATACAGTCCGCAGATCTACTTTATCAACTTGATGGGCCCTTTCACATAGCTCTATATCCCAGAATATCAAGGCAGGAAATACCACAATATCTGCTTTGAACTGAGGGCGTATCCAGACAGCTACTTTGTTGCGGAAACTTCTGCAATAAAACTTCTGCAATAAAAAAGAGGCTGTCCAGATGACATTCTGGACAAACCCAAATTAATTCACCACAAACCAGGAAAACCCTGGTTGTGGAAAATTAATTTGATAGTGGGTTTATCCACGTCTTCTTGGAAGGCGTGGGGATAAACCCACTACTTCCGGTGTCTGGATTGCAGAATACTGCAGTCCAGACAGTATTTCCCAGAAAACTGTGGGAATATCAACCCCCTCCCCAAAAACCTCCCAAAACAGAGTAAAAAAACAGAAGAACTCACCTGGCCTCCATAAGATGGCTGTTGGAGTTCTCTGGGTGTGTACAAAGGGGGGGGGGAATCACTCCCCCCCCCGCGTCATTTCTACGTGCCAGGAGAGCTCTGGCAGCCGTCTCATGGAGGCCGGGTGAGCTATTCTGTTTTTTCCTCTGCTTTGGGGGGCTTTTGGGGAGGGACTTGCTGTGTCTCAGTGCTCTCCTGGCAGGGGCGGCTCAACCCATTACGCAAAGTAAGCATTTGCAGTATAGTTGATTTTGCCCAGGGGTGCTCTTGGGGGAAAATAGACCTTGACATATGTGAGTTGTAGTACTGGGATGTATAGTTCACCTACAATCAAAGAGCATTCTGAACTCCACCAATGATGGAATTGAACCAAATATGGCACACAGAACTCCCACGACGAACAGAAAATATATATCAGTGATTGGTTGGGTGTGGGGGGGGGGGGACAAAATATTGTTTGCTTACTGTTGAAAATTACCTAGGGACGCCTCTGTCTACTGGGAAGTCCTGGAAGAACATCTGGACACCCACCCCAGGTTTATATGAGTCTACACTGACAGGTAATCTGAGATAATTTGATAATCTGGGATCACATCCTGGGATATAGGACAGTGCAGATCCAGCCTTTGCTTGTGCTGTTAAGCACAGAAACTGAGCATATTCTACCCTTAACCATTCATGTGACATGCTGGCCTATAATGGCCAACTGAGTTCATAATAAACATTTACTGGTAACAACTTTGTGATTTATAAAAATATTTTCCAGCTACATATTTTATCAGCTTTCCAAAATGCACACTTTAGCTTACATCTTGTGCTTATCTCTGAGTAAACCCACTGAACTCAATTGAAGTTGTTTAGGGAATAGAATTGTATCATACTTTTCTGTTTCCCCCCCTTTAACTGCACATTTTATGTGTATTTGCCTGGTCACACCCACCCTACTGATATATCATCACTTCTAGGCCTTTTGCAATAAATAAGATGCAGGAATCAAAATAATAATCTTTTTGGGGCCTAAAAAATCAACTTTATTGCTAGCTAATATTTGCCTATCAAGTTGCTGTTAAAGATTTGATAACACAAATAAAGGTTGGCTATGCCAAAACCAAAGCAAGCAAACAAAAATCAGTGCCTTCCTCTTTGAGGAGAGATTACATATTATCTACTATGGTGCTATGTTCAAGATTCAGCACTTGTTGGGAAATACCACATTGGGGAAGCCACAAATCAAATGCTGGTGAAACGTGCTGAAATCAAATATTGCTGGTGGCAGTAGATTCGTGTGACGTGGATCACAGCACTGGATCACCAAGGACTGGAAATGCAATGCAGGAGCAAAGATAAATTAAGGGTTTGGTCTCTTGGAAGAAGCACGATCTTAACAGATTAGAGAGATGGGCCAAAACTGACAAAATGAAGTTCAACAGAGACAAATACAAGATACTCCACTTTGGCAGGAAAAATGAAATGCAAAGATACAGAATGGGGGATGCGTAGCTCGAGAGCAGTACATGTGAAAAAGATCTTGGAGTTCTTGTGGACAACAAGTTAAACATGCACCAACAGTGTGATACAGCGGCAAAAAAAGCCAATGGGATTTTGTCCTGCATCAATAGGAGTATAGTGTCTAGATCCAGGGAAGTCATGCTACCCCTCTATTAGTTAGACCCCATCTGGAATATTGTGTCCAATTTTGGGCACCACAACTGAAGGGAGATGTTGACAAGCTGGAATGTGCTCAGAGGAGGTGACTAAAATGATCAAGGGTCTGAAGAACAAGCCCTACGAGGAGCGGCTTAAAGAGCTGGGCATGTTTAGCCTGAAGAAGAGAAGGCTGAGATGAGACATGATAGTCATGTATAATATGTGAGAGAAAGTCATAGGGAGAAGGGAGCAAGCTTGTTTTCTGCTGCCCTGGAGTCTAGGACGCGGAACAATGGCTTCAAACTACAAGAAAGGAGATTCCATCTGAACATGAGGAAGAACTTCCTGACTGTGAGAGCCGTTCAGCAGTGGAACTCTCTGCCCCGGAGTGTGGTGGAGGCTCCTTCTTTGGAGGCTTTTAAACAGAGGCTGGATGGCCATCTGTTGGGGGTGCTTTGAATGTGATTATCCTGCTTCTTGGCAGGGGTTGGACTGGATTGCACATGATTTGTACAGAAGCTCTGCCTAACAAGGCATCTCAAATGTAATATCTGTTCCACATGGTTGCGTTTTCTTCAAAATTAAATCCTATGGATCCTTTTTATGTGCAGTGGTATGCATGCTCTCTAAGCAATTAAACATATGAAATATGACAGGATCTAAGTTGCTGTGAGTTTTCTGGGCTGTATGACCGTGTTCCAGAAGCATTCTCTCCTGACATTTCACTCACATCTATGGCAAGCATCATCATCTATCTACATACCCACTAAGAAAATCCAACAAATGCTATGGTCAGCAAAGGACAGGAGGGATCCTCTCACTTCTGCAGAAGTCTACAGTATACCATGCAGCTGAAGACAAGTCTACATAGGGACCACCAAATGCAGCATTGCCCAAACACGAACCAAGGAACATGAAAGATGCTGCTTCAACCAGAGAAGTCAGCCATAGCAGAGCATCCGATGAACCAACCTAGACACAGCATATTATTTGAGAACACAGAAATGCTGGACCACTCTCACAACCACCACGTCAGACTACACAGAGAAACCACTGAAATCCATAAGCATGTGGACAATTTCAACAGAAAGGAGGAAACTATGAAAATGAACAAAATCTGGCTGCCAGTATTAGAAAAACTCATTGAATTGTTGCCGACTGTAAACTGCCTTGAGTTGCCTTTAGGTTAAGAAGGGCGGTATAGAAATACCGTAAATAAATAAAAATAAATAAATAAATAAATAAAATAGTAAATAAAGAGGAACATTAAAAAAACAGGGTAAATCCTGACATGAAATAATCAGGACCAGCGAATACCTCCCAACAAAGGATTCCCTCAGGCAGGAACCAGCCAGGCTTAGAAGCTGCAAAGCCATTCAATGCTAATTAAGGAGGCCAATTGCAACATTCACATTTGCCTCAGGCTAACAAGAGTTCTTTCTTCCACCCTGGACAATCCACAGATATATAAACCTCCCTTGCCTTGTTTCCAACAGACCTCACAACCTCTGAGGTTGCCTGCCATAGATGTGGGCAAAACGTCAGAAGAGAATGCTTCTGGAACACAGCCATTCCGACAGGAAAACTCACAGCAACCTAGTGATTCTGGCCATGAAAGCCTTTGAAAACACAATGAAAGGACCTACTTTTCAATATACATGCAGTATATGTAGCCAGTATATGTTTGAAGCAGAATAAACTAAAGATCACTTTAGATTTCAGTCTAATTGTCCCTCAAGACAATCACTTTTGCCCCTGTAACAAGGTAGCAAGCTCTCTAGTGCAATAGGATGTATCTTTGAGTAGATCAGTGGTTCTCAACCTGGTGTCCCCAGATGTTTTTTGACCTACAACTCCAAGAAATCCCAACCAGTTTACCAGCTGTTAGGATTTCTGGGAATTGAAGGCCAAAAACATCTGGAGACGCCAGGTTGAGAACCACTGGAGTAGATGAAAATAGGATGCTCCTGAATTTTTTTGGTTAAATTGCAAGGATCAGTGAAAAAGTTTCCTGAATCTATACATTTTTTACACAAACTTTAATTTTACAACCTTGTGGACATGCAGCAATATGTATCATTTAAAATATTTTACAGAAATGATCTGAATCTCCAGCATAAATATCAATTCAGTGTTACTATATCCAGCCTGAAAGTACACACAATACAATAATTATTCATTGAGTTTACCTTCTAATTTACAACATAGGGAGAAATGTCTCACTGAAGGGTGATGAATCTTCTCAGGATGTGGTCTCGATGAGATATCAAGCTGATCTAAGCTGCCAAAAATTAAGGTAATGAGAAAGTATAGCATGAAGGGATTTTTTTTCATGCTATGACATATGCAGTGTGATTCTTTTAACACATACAATTGGTCCTTCTAACATGAATTATGGGAATCCTCTTCTACGTAGCAATGTCTCACATCATGGCCAAGATTGTTCTATAGTATTTAGTCAAAAGATAGGTCTTTCATTGTACTCAATCAAATTGATCCATGAAGTTCATCCCAAAACGTGGAGATATCTAATAGTGATAAGATAGAGATAATAATAATAATAATAATAAGCGAGCTAACTTGTGCCACAAATACTATCTGCCTGCGACAAGTCAAATTATTTTGGGACTTCTGAATTCAGCCTGACAGAGTTTTGGAGCACAATACTCCTGACCTCACAATTATGTTAAAAACCAAGTATGGATTGTCGATGTTGCAATCCCAGGCAATAGCAGGATTGAAGTTAAACAACTGGAAAAGATGACCTGATATGAGGATTTAAGATCGAACTGCAAAGACTCTGGCACAAGCCAGTCAAGGTGGTCCCAGTGGGTGATCGGCACACTGGGTGCAGTGCCTAAAGACCTTGGCCTGCACTTAAACCCAATCGGCACTGACTTACCATCTGCATGCATTATTCGCCGATACATCACACAGTCCTAGACACTTGGGAAGTGTCCGACGTGTAATTCAATACAATAGCCAGCAGAGTGATCTTGTTTGCTGTGGACTCATCTTGTTGTGTTTCGAATAATAATAATAATAATAATAATAATAATAATAATAATAATAATACGGAGCTTCAGTTCCTTGAGTCACGTCACAGGTCAGCTCTGTAAAACAGATCCTTAACACTGAATTTGCAGCAATTTCAGGTGCTGTTGACCTGTGTCAAAGAGGCCAAAAGGTCTAAAAGGTTGCTGTGAGTTTTCCGTGCTGTATGGCCATGTTCCAGAAGCATTCCCTCCTGACGTTTCACTCACATCTATGGCAGGCATCCTCAGAGGTTGTGAGATCTGTTGGAAACTAGGCAAGTGATGTTTATATATCTGTGGAATGTCCAGGGTGGGAGAAAGAACTCTTGTCTGTTTGAGGCAGGTGCGAGTGTTACAATTTGCTACTTTGATTAGTATTTAATTGTCTTGCAGCTTCAAGGTCTGGCTGCTTACTGGCTGCTTACTGCCCAGGGGAATCCTTTGTTGGGATGTGAGCTGGCCCTGATTGTTTTTTGTCTGGAATTCCCCCATTTTTAAGTGATGTTTTTTTATTTACTGTCCTGATTTTAGCGTTCTTTTAATACCAGTGACCAGATTTTGCTCACTTTCATGGTTTCCTCCTTTCTGTTGAAATTGTCTACATACATGCCTGTATGTATTCTTCTTTGCCCACATTTCTATTAGTATAGGTGAGGTTTCACAAACCTTTATCTTAAAATTGCTGTGACAGGGTAAATATCATTACCTTTACATTTATGATCATCTAAAGTCTTTTGTATTTCTCATGCGAACCTGCCAATCATGAACCTACAGAGGGAAGACTCTGATGCTCTGTTTTCTGATGAGCTGACATGAGCATCAGATTCCTCACCACACTAGCTCAGTTCCTCCTACTTGGCTTCAAAATGCCCACTTCTGCTTAATATATGTGATGAGAAAGGAAGTCTTAGGGCAGATAAGGTCAATGTGTGGCCTTTCAGAAGTTGTTAGATTGAAACTCCCATGAACCCCAGCTAATATAGCCAATGGTGATGAATGATGGGAGTCACGTTTGCATGTCAGATGTGCTTATTTAGTTTTCAGTGTCTATGACTGGATCTACACTGCCATATAATCCAATTTCAGATTAACTGCTTTTGATTGGATTATATTTATTTATTTATTTATTTATTTATTTACAACATTTATATACCGCTTTTCYCACCMCGAAGGGGACTCAAAGCAGTTTCCACATAGGTAATTGCAAAATTCAATGCCAGCACAAACAATTACAATGATACAATTACAGTTAGACATAAATCAAATTAAAATACATCCATAAACAGTAAAACAATCRTTAAAACAGTGAAACAGTCTCATCCGTCGAATCACCATTCCAGTCATTGTCTTTCCAAAATGCTGTATAGATTTGTTTCTACTGCCCAAAGGCCTAGTCCCAAAACCATGTTTTTAATTTTTTCTTAAAAGCCAGGAGGGAGGGAGCAGATCTTATCTCATTTGGGAGAGTGTTCCATAGGCRGGGGGCCACAGWCGAGAAGGCCCTGTCTCTCGTCCCCGCCAGGCGCATTTGCGCTGTTGACGGGAGCGAGAGCAGGGCCTGCTTGAATGATYTTAGATTACGAGGTGGGACATATTATTATTATTATTATTATTAGTATTATTATTATTATTATTATTATTATTATTATTTCAGTTASTTCTACCCCGCCCTTCTCACCCCAGAGGGAGACTCAGGGTGACTTACAAAGGCACAATTCGATGCCAGCAACAACGTAACAGTAGAATAAAAACAATATAGCAGCAATTAAACAATTAACAATCAGTTTCTGCACTGCAACAATAAAACCAATAAAACCGATTTCACCTAATTAACGCTCAGCATTCGCCATCTCATAGTCCAAATTCCAATTCCACTTTGTCAGTCCTGTCAGTCCTAGTCGTCCAGTTGTCTTTATCTAGTTGTTAGATTGCCCGAAGGCCTGGTCCCACAACCACGTTTTTAATTTCCTCCTGAAGGAGAGGAGGGATGTTGATGACCTAATTTCCCCGTGAGTGAGTTCCATAGGTGAGGGGCCACCACTGAGAAGGCCCTGCTCCTCGTCCCCACCAACCTCACTTGTGATAGCGGTGGGATCAGCAGGGCCTCCCCAGATGATCTCAAACTCCGAGGTGGGACGTAGAGGGAGATGAGTAGGGGCAGATGCGTTCGGGCAAGTAAGCTGGGCCAGAACCATATAGAGCTTTATAGGTCAAAACCAGCACTTTGAATTGGGCTCGGAGATGGACCGGCAGCCAGTGGAGCTGGCATAACAAGGGGGTGGTATGCTCCCTGTATGCCGCCCCAGTTAGTAATCTGGCTGCTGCCTGTTGGACTAGCTGAAGTTTCCGAACCGTCTTCAAAGGCAGCCCCACGTAGAGTGCGTTGCAGTAATCTATTCAGGATGTATCCGGAGCATGGACTACCATGGCCAGATCAGACTTATATAAATCTACACTGCCATATAATACAGTTAATCTTCATTCAGAAATTGGATCATATGGCAGTGTAGATGAGGCCTATTTTAAGATGAACACTTCACCCATGAATTCTCACTCTCAGACCCATTACACTGCCATAGAATCCAATTGTGGAATGCAGAGTAACTGCATTGAACTGGATTATATGGCAGCGTGGACTTGCTAAACCAATTCCAAGTAGTTAATCTGAATTCTGAAACAGGATTACATGGCAGTGCACATTCAGTCTCAGGCCCCTTCTACATTGCCATATAAAATCCAGATTATCTCATTTGAACTGGATTATATCGCAGTGTAGAATCACATAATCCAGTTCAAAGCAGTTAATCTGAATTCCAAAACTGGATTACATGGCAGTGCACATTCAGTCTCAGCCTCCTTCTACACTGCCATATAAAATCCAGATTATCTACTTTGAACTGGTTTATATGGCAGTGTCGACTCATATAATCCAGTTCAAAGCAGATAATGTGGATTATTTATTAATTATTTATTTATTTACAGCATTTATATTCCACCCTTCTCATCCTGCAAGGGACTCAGGGCGGATTACAGTGTACACATATATGGCAAACATTCAATGCCAATTTTGACATACAACATATACAGACGTAGACAGAAGCTATTAACTTTTTCTGGCTGCCAGGGGAGCTGTCGCTTTCATCGTCCATCTGCAACACTGATGAAGTACTTCCGCATTCCCTGCATGCTTTTGCTGAAGTCTTTATGGCCTCATAAATTAGTTAATTTAGCCTCCCCACACTTTAAGGTGGTACCTTATTTTCCTACTTGACAGATGCAACTGTCTTTCGGGTTGCAAAGGTCGACAACAGGCTACACAATTGGTTGGAAACCCACTCCAACCCGGGCTGGCTTCGAACTCATGACCTTTTTGCTTTGATACTCTGGATTATATGGCAATGTACAAGAGGCCTCAGTAGGGTATTCCATTTTGGCAATAAACATATGACCAGGAATTTTAAAGGGATGCTACATGAATATTTCTGGACTTTATTGGCATGGTTATTGCAAAATTAATCACAATGAGTATAGGTTTTAAATAGCAGTGTATATTTTAAATGAATCAGTGACTAAATAAAGCACACTAGTGTGTGTGTGTGTGTACACCACAAATTCATAGCGCCTTTGTACCACTTTAACTATCATAGCTTCCTCCTATATAATCCCAGAAATTGTAGTATGGTGAGATAATTAGAATTATCTGCTGGAGAATTTAAGGTCCCTTCCACACTGCCATATAATCCAGGTTATCAATGCAAATAATCCACATTATCTGCTTTGAACTGAATTATATGAGTCTACACTGCTATATAATTCAGTTCAAAGCAGATAATCTGGATTTTAAATGGCAGTGTAGAAAGGGGCCTAGTTTGCTGTGGTGTACTCTAGCACAGTTTACAATACACCTGGATAAACTGAAAATCTCAGTATCCCATAGAATAGAGCCATGCTAGTGAATGCACAACTATTTGCTATAATTGTGCAGTGTGTATATACCCCAGCTGTTCTCTTCCATTTTTTTTTGCAACACATCATAATATATGTGTTATAATCAACTACAATCAATTTTAAAGCAAATAATGTGATAAAAAGGAGGAAACACTGTTGGGTCGGTAGTAGGGTGTTGTTGCACGTCTTCAAATCATTGTTAGCTTCTGGAGCCCCTTTGCCAAACCTTTCCTTGGTTTTCCTTGGCAAGATTTGTCCAGAGGCTGAGAGCTTCCTCTGAGA